ATTAATGGACAATATTTCGCCGATCAATCTACGAATGTATTCAAACGAATGCTGTAAAAGTATCTGGGTGAAAGTCCCATATTGATGCACACACACTTTTTCAGCATTCACATTTCACAGATTGAACGTCAAAAGTATCTTCCATTAATATTATTTAGACCACGTATACAAAATACTGACGATTACATTACAAAACAAATGAAAAACGTTTCCCTGACACAGAGCCCGTGTGTATATAAGCTTACAATATATTGAAACGACTTCTTAACATTGTCAGCAGTTTTCAGGGCAGTATCGACTAGTTATATTATTTTACATTTTAGTAATATATTTAGTAAGTTAGTGGCAAAGTGATATAAGTGTTAGTAGTTAGTTTGTTAGTTTGTCGATCGGCTAAATGAGCGGTATTTACAGGCACCTTTTAATAACACCCTAACTAGGTGACAGAGGGACGTGTAACTAGGCACAGATAATTCAAATAATTCCTTTAAAATATTATTTTTTGTTTGTAAAAATATTTTAAAATCTCTGCGATACTATTTTATAATATTACAGCTTGATGTCATATACTAATTTAACTTTCTCTAAGCTAACTAAATACTGAATGATTGTCCGGTGAGGGGGTCAAAACACATCGGGACTAATGACCCCAACTTTCCTAGTTGGGGTCATTAGTCCCGATGTATTGGGGTCAATAATAATTATGTAGTTTTAGCTCTAGTTAAATAGTACTCCGGAAATTCTCCAAATTTATTTAAAAAGAAAGGTTAGTATCAACAATTAATTTTTAACCCTGATTAACAGAAAAACCCGATCACTCATAATAGAGGAAGGACTAATGACCCCACCTAGGAATATTGGGTCAATAATCCTCCGGGGTCAAAACAGACAAGTCTAACATCAAGATATAATTAAAATAAAGCATAGCAGATGTGAATAGATTAAATCTAAACGCCTAGCCACAAAATCACTCTAGTCACCATTAGTTACATACAGACATGAAAAATCATAACTATAATATACATACATATAATAACTATCGTGAGACATACTGAATTAACTAAGAACAACGGTTTACTACCTCTACTAGTTTCGACTCACAGGGGGACTCTTCATCATGAGCTGAGTACTAGTTTGTAGGACGTTTAACGAGATCAATTTATTACCGCGTTCGACGCTTTGATTGGTCTCCTACAATGAACCAACCAATCAAGAGGACTAGACCCGGTAACGCTTTGATGTCGTTGAACGTAAAATAAACTTGTATTAGGCCCTTAGAGTCCCTCTATAACTTTAAACTAATAGAGCTTTTCTCAGTATATTTACGTGTGTAAAACCGATATTTTAAGTTAATTCAGATATAATAACATTAGTTCAGATAATGTACTATGTATTTAGTTTAATACATAATAATATAAATCTCACTATTCATTACAAACATCACATTGCAATCACAATATTTTTAACTCACTATTAACGCCGTTTTGTATTATTGATGTGATTTGTCAAAGATACACAGACATTATTTGCTATACAAACGTTTCAAAATTAAACGTTTTGCAAATTGATCTTTATTTTAATGGAATTATGAAATAAAATGCCACAGGATCAGGGAACAGAAGGGGTAGAAACTCTGAAATAATTCCTATATAAGTCGATTAACCCGTGGAACGTAGATACATATACGCGAGACACTTTTTTCTATTGTGTCTCATATATCGACAGAAAAGAGGTTAAGGACAAAATAATCAAGATTATTTTATCAATGAATGAGATAATACTAATAGCGTAACTTTTTAAAACAAGAGCCTAGTAAAATATAAACAAACAGTAAAATCTTTGACAAACCACATCAATCGAGTGATCGGAAAATGTTATATTTCGCCAACTCCAAATTGACATGTAACATTCTTACATTAACATTACTTTAACTAGCGAAATAGGACAAACTCGATCACTCAAAAACTGCTGTACTGAGTCATTTAATGTCCACTTAACCCAGTCCTTAGCAGTTGTTTTCGGAACAAAATCGGTACTAAGAAATAGTTTAAGTAATCATTCAATGTCTATGAGTACAACAGAAGTCACATTCATTCAATTTTCGAGCCCATCCGAAATCTTTCGGGCACGAAACTTGTCGGACGGGCTTGGGTCAACACAGTAAAGTACGGTCCGTATTTTCATATTATGAATTCGAGACACGTTAAATTAATTATATGTTTAACGTTTGCCGCATAATACCGCTCAGGAGAGTCCCTAACGCGGCTTGAAACTAGTCGAGTTCCCTCGTCAAACACTTATCGTTAAACATATAATTTCCAGTATGTTAAGATACTTGGCGGTGTTCTTGTGGTGGGTGCAGTGCTGATGGCTGCTACTCCTCGAGCTGGTCTCCTCGGCGACAGCATCTGCGTCGGAATCGCACGCACAGACACCCGGACGAGCTCGCCCGTGCTTCCTGCACGAAACGACCTAGCTAGATCTAGATATGTCTAGATCTATAGTTACCTTACTACTACCTATCTTTGTAATTTAGGTCTCAAAGTATCTGTATCTGTATTTTGTCCAGTTTTCAATAAACACACACAAAATTATAAGTCTAATTTTAAGTAAATGCCCCATTTATACTGTTTGTTTTATACGATGCCATGACAGTACAAATATTTAAATATAACTTGTATAAAATCAGCTATGCGAGAATTCATAAGAAGTGTTATGTCTTGTCCTACAATATCTTAAAGTTCAGGAGTTTACAATCATACGCATCATGACAGTGTAAGTAGAAATATTTGCACAAACCATAAAAAAATATCTCGTTGGTCCCTACGGTCTATAAAACATATGATTACCAATTTACTTGAAAGAATAAAAAGGCTGTGGAACACATTTATGCATCGAAATTAAGCCTTAGTTGCATGTAATAAGGTGTACTGTTCTTAAACGTCGCGTCGCGTTTTTTTAAGAATAGTGTCACAGTTCATATGTAACTTTTAAGCCAAGCGGATATGAAATAAAGATAAAATGTTTGAAAGTCGCTGCGCTTCTTAGACAAAAACTTCACCAGTTTCATCGAAGAGAATGTTCTAAATATTTTATAGTAGATTGCAATATATGAATAATGTCGCAAGATATGACTAATGTCGAAATACTCAAATGCTATTTTTATTTATATTTTAAGTTGCATTTAAGTACTGTCTTTATAATAACTATCGTGAGACATACTAAATTAACCAAAAATTCACGGAACCCCTTTGTGGTTTGAAACTAGTAGAGCTTTTCTCAGTATATTCACGTGAGTAACCCGCGATTTTTAGTTAATACAATACTGTCACTACTAATTCTTTGTAAAATGACAAGAGATGGCGCGATATTTAAGAACAATAATTCAGTATGTTATAATATACAATTTCATTATTCAGGCGTAAGCATCAACATATAGTAATGGACATGTCTTAGAGATGAGAATTGTGGCACTCCGAAACAAAGAGAGGAAACGAAGTTTCGGTCTATATTTTTCTCTCTCAAAATAGTACCGTAGTTAAGACGTTATGAGCCGTTATGATAGCGCTAGACAGAAAGCATAGGCCATCTCTCTCACTCCTTTCAATCCAAAAAATTACCGCAGATTATACGCATACGGCATATCCATTAGTATATGTCGATGGGCGTAAAGGACTACATATTTGAGTAGCGGATTGACGCTCGAATACTGTAAGGCTAGGCTTTGAAGTTGTACTCAAATATCGTGCCATCTCTTTCTTTTACAAAGAATTTGTTGTGACAGAACTATAGTTAAGCGCGTCTTAGAATTTAGTAATATTTGAGTATTTAGACATGAGCCATCTTACGTAGAAAAAGCTCACAGTGGACTTATACCCGCTGTTAATATTGATGTCGAAACTCAATACAAAAAATCCATTTAAGAAACCTTTTTTTAAACAGATTTTAGCAAGTTTTTAACTTTCGTTAAGGTTCTTAACATCTCATTTGAAAGTAGTATGGGCTGGTGAAATTACGTCTACATGTGCAACCGCTAGCAACGCATAGCAACTGTATGATTACTAATGCAAGTCCACGTCGCGACACATTTAAAACTACAAAAACTACGCAATTATACGGAATATGACAAATCGTAGAATAATTTACGATTTTATTATTAATGGTTAAGGTTAATTTTTAATTGTACCGATTAAACGGCAAAACGCGATGAAAATGTCAGTTTAAGTAAATGGAAGTAGAATTTATGAAGATTTTTTTGAATATTACAGAATAAATTTATTATTTAAAATATTTAGATATTTAACGTACTTATGAATGAACAACTCCGTTTATTTATTATATTTAACTTGGTTAGTTAAACCAAAATATTTAAGACAGTAAAATAATAATTATAATTTTTAAAATAAAGTTGTATCTAACACACGTCACTATCAACAAATAGCTGCTTACATTATAATGTATATGAAGTTATAGTAAGTAATATGTTATAAAAACCCCAGTCTGATTAAAATAAAAAACCAATATAAAATTCAGATTCTAAAAACATATTTCATTTCAATTAATCTATTTTAAAGAGAATAGAAATAGATAAAAAATTAGAAACTATACTTTGACGATTCAAAAACGTACCTCTCTTAAATTTTAAGAAACCTCTAAGCTAATATAGGTGACACTTAATATTTTGGTTGTCATCAAACTATGTATAAATGACATTTAACAGTACAGTTTATGGGTTAGTTTAGATGCTAAGTCACGCTAAGTGACTCTTAGTTAAGAGATGATTTTAAGCGACACCTCAGTGTACAAATTAGGGGTTAGTATACGTGTTCCTTTACACTAAATGACGCTTAGATAAGAGATGGTAAAAACTGTTATTATAATTCACACTATTACAAAAAAGTCAAACGGGGGTCATTAGACATATTCTTAAAAAAACAAGACCCCCTCAAGTCACCAAAGTATAACTATATGAGCTATCATGGTGTCTACGGGGGTATTACCTTTATAAGTGGTACTGGAGCGTTCCCATGGTGGCGGGCGGCGGAATTGTCCTCCAGGAGGATGTTGTCGGGGGAGTCCGGCACAGCGAACCGGTAGAGGGACGCTGGGGGGAGCTTTAAGGGGTGCCGGCGTTCAAGGTCCAGGAGGATGCTGGAGATATAAATTTGAGATTAGATTATTGTATACAACTTAATGAATACAAAAACATTTGCGACCTGTACCACTGATTTCTTTACAAATTACACCTGCGACCACTCGGCCAACGAGGCAGTATATTGTACAATTTTTTGTCTTTTTATCTCTCTAAATATACTTGATATCCACAATATTGACTGCACAAATTTAAAAATATTATTAGGAAATTGTTATTTGGTCGGTCTGATGCTGAGGATCATATTGAATATTGAATCTATTGTTTAATTGCATTGTTAATTTTCTTAATACTACCATTTATTTTCAATTTTGTTCTGGGTTATAATAGGGTAGATGCCTAATTTTTACTTTAATGTCCGTCTGGTAGATTATTTTGAATCATTACACATGTATTTTTTATTTTCTTACAGAAACGAATACTTTCCACGATATATTGATTTGAAATGTCGTGTGATGTCACTTTTATGTACATTTTTTATGTACAAATGACGTTTTAGTCCCCACTCCTAAACTTTGATTCGTTTTATCTATGTATCATTTTAATATACGACAAAATAAAAAAATACGTGTCCAATATTTTTTCATTACCTAACTCACGGACTAATTACATTTTTTATTTTTATACCTTGTCATCATCCCAATTCATTATAAATAATTGTTAATGTTTTTATAATAACTATCGTGAGACATACTAAACACTTGCTTACTCACGTGAAAATATAGAAATGCTCTACTAGTTTCGAAGCACAGGGTTCTTCCTCATGAGCTGCATGCGCGGTCGCGGCGATATCGCGTAGTCCACTGACAGAGTTAAGACCACTGATTCACGTGAGTAACCCGCGATTTTTAGTTAATTTAGTATGTCTCACGATAGTCATAAAAGTTTTTTGTTGAGGTTTAGTTAGTGTATATGTGTGACATGTTAGTGTGTGAGTGACCTGTCCAGGAAGCGGTCCAGCATGGGCTTGGTGTTGAGCATGACGAGGTCGCACATCCAGTGTCGCTTCTCTGTTTAGTTAGTGTATATGTGTGACATGTTAGTGTGTGAGTGACCTGTCCAGGAAGCGGTCCAGCATGGGCTTGGTGTTGAGCATGACGAGGTCGCACATCCAGTGTCGCTTCTCTGTTTAGTTAGTGTATATGTGTGACATGTTAGTGTGTGAGTGACCTGTCCAGGAAGCGGTCCAGCATGGGCTTGGTGTTGAGCATGACGAGGTCGCACATCCAGTGTCGCTTCTCTGTTTAGTTAGTGTATATGTGTGACATGTTAGTGTGTGAGTGACCTGTCCAGGAAGCGGTCCAGCATGGGCTTGGTGTTGAGCATGACGAGGTCGCACATCCAGTGTCGCTTCTCTGCGCAGGACGCGCAGGCCAGCACCACGCACGGACCCACGCGCGGGCACAGCTCCACCAGGTGCCGCGCCTCTACAGGGGGGGGGGATATAATTATTCTTTTATATACTACATTTGTAAACCCGACTTCAGCCAGGAAGCAAGAGCGAATTTTAGTCCAATTCAAAAAGGGGTTTGAAGTCGGCTAAAAAAGGGAGGTTATCAGTTTGACTTATATGAATGTACGTGCGTGATTATTTGGCGACTGACTTAACCGATTTTGATGCGGTTTTCAAAAGATTTAACATATTAATTAACCGACTTCAAAAACAAGAGAGGGATTGAAGTCAGTTTGTTTAAACGTAGTTTCAAAAAAGTTTTTTAAATCGATCTATTTTCATATTTAAGTGTTTTCAACTATATCACTGCTCTCCTCCATCAGTTACTAAGTTCAAATAATACCATTCGGGTATAGTACACCCAGGTGAAGATAACAGAATACACGCAACAATAAATAAATGAGTGAGTGGTAGCACAGTACCGTCTGTGTCTGGTCTGTCGACGAGCTCCAGTTTCCGTATGTGTAGTTTCTCCTTGAGCTTGAGTTGCTGCGCGCCGCCGCCCGCGCCGCCGCTGCCGCCGCTGTTGACGACCTGGCGGACGGACACTTGATATACTTCAACAATACGACCTCGTACACTAAACTGCGATGCGATGCGAATTCACAACGCAAAAAATTACAATGCTAATTGCCGCAATGCATTTTCGTGCGACAAGGCGTCTCCCAGGGTGACCATTCCTTCGACGACCGTCAACCGTACTAAACGTATTTTCCAATTAGGCCAAGAACGTATTTGTGGCTCTAATGTTAATGATCAGAGAGCTAACTCTTGAATCCAATTCCGATCGATCGACATTGGTATTGTGAAATTTCGTACTCTCGAGTTGCAACACTAGCGTACATTGCATCCGCATTGCGTGGATATTGAATGAACTAAATGGTATTGAGTTTCTCTTTATATTCCGTACTCTGAATGCTATTGTAACAGCTACGATAGGGGTTGTATAATATTGACATTGAATAATTATTGAGATTTTATTAGATTGAAATTGAGATTGGTTTCAATTCAAATTTGAAAGTTGACCAAGAATTTGAAAGTTTCTTTAAAAATATACCGATTAAAACTACGGAAGCGTTGAAATCATCTCCAATTCTTTCTGTTGAACTCCTTAGAAGTAATGTCAAGGAGTGTCTTTCTGAATTTCGATTTCAGCACACAAACCCCCAAGCAGTAATTAAAGCGTTCAAAGATATCAAAGTTAATTCAACTGAAGATCTCTGGGGAATGTCTGTTAGGGTGTGTCGGTCTTTTATAGAAACTATAGCGCCTCATTTAGCTTCCATTTTTAATAAAAGTGTAGATCACGGAGTTTTCCCGGATTTAATGAAGCATAGTAAAGTAGTTTCATTGTTTAAATCCGGTGATAGCGCAGAACCCAATAATTATAGACCGGTCTCTATTTTACCAGCGCTCAGCAAGGTGTTTAAAAGGCTGATGCTTTCTCAGATGTTGCGTCACTTCAACATTAATTCCGTCTTTCATGATCAACAATACGGATTCACCAAGGGTCGCTGCACTACTGACGCGGGAGTGGCTCTTATTAAGCGGGTTTTCGCCTCATGGGAAGAAGCACGAGATGCCATCGGAATATTTTGTGATCTTTCGAAGGCATTCGACTGTGTTGAACATGAGACACTATTGCTGAAGCTGGAATACTACGGCATTCGGGGGACGTCGCTAAAACTGATGAAATCATACCTTCAGGATAGGCAACTTAAAGTACAGGTAAATAAAGAAAATTCACAGGGTGCTAGCATATTTATGAGTGTACCGCAGGGCTCAATACAAGGTCCATTCTATTTTTTTAGCTATAAATGACTTGACCGATTTATTTAAAAATGAACCTCAGATGGTATTATTTGCTGATGACACTTCATTAGTTTTTAAAATAATTAGACTAACAAATAATTATGACGAAGTAAATAATGCCCCAATGAAAGTTCATAATTGGTTTACATTAAATAACTTAGTACTAAACGATAAAAAGACAAAATGTATTAGATTTTCGGTTTTATTTTATTTATTTATTTTTATTTAATTCAACACATCCTAACAGGTTACACCCAATGCAATAATGTTGTCACTTAATGTAAAAACTTATAATTAGTATTAATAAAAAAAAACTTAAATAAAAACTTAATATAAAAACTTATAACAACTATGTACTTATCCATTAACTACATATGTACAACTAACAACATCAGTCGTTACCTTTATGAACTCCGCCAATAAGCAACAGAAAATATCAACCTTTTGTCCAACTCTGTTAATTATTTTAATAGCTCTAGCCACAGGAGCATATCGACCTATGTTAGTGCGACTGGTTGGGACCTCAAATAGTCTCTGCCTCGGGCTCAGCCTTAGCTTTGTATTTGGGACGAGCAACCTCAACGAAGCCAGTATGGATGGATTGTTCTGCTTACCCCGGAAAACCTCAAACACGTACTTTGCGAGTGCAACCTCTCGCCTGACCTCCAGCTTATAGTATCCCACCATGCCAATAACAAACAGAGAAGGATACATGAGTGGGTAATACGGGTACACTCCATATTGTTTTAGGTACAGGTACCGAGTAAACTTGTTTTGCATCTTCTCCACCATGAGGCTGTATTTCATCTCATGGGGGTTCCAGATTATAGCACTCGTCTCTAATTGACTCCTAACCAAAGCATTGTATAATATTTTTATTGTTGCTATACTTTTAAAATCCTTTGTCTCTCTCATTACAAAACCCAAACTTCTGTAAGCTTTAGAGCAAACCTTCGCGATATGCTCCCTGAATGACAAATCTTTGGTCATAAGCACTCCCAAATCCCGGACCGATTCAACACGAGGCATGACACTGTCTTCCATGTGGTATCGATGATGCACCGGAGACATGGCACGCGTGCAAGACATTATATTGCACTTGTTGACATTGAAGAAGAGTTTGTTTTTCCGACTCCAATCAATTACCAGATCAATGTCATTTTGTAGGCGCTTACAATCCTCTTTATCGACCACACGTAGAAAAAGCTTTAAGTCATCAGCAAAGAGCAAACAACACGCATTCTGGACCACCTCTGGTAGATCATTAATCATTAGAATAAATTCTAATGGCCCAAGGTTGCTACCCTGGCTTACACCAGATAGCGTGCGATATTGGTCTGATACATGTCCACAGTAGTCGACGTATTGCCTTCGGTTCCCGAGATAACTCGCAAAAAACTGGAGTAAATCTGGCGTGAACCCTGCCATCGCAAATTTGGTTAACAGTATGTCATTATTAACGCTGTCAAAGGCCTTTTTGAAGTCAAAATAGGCAATATCCAGTTGGGCACCAGCCTCCGAGTCGAGGGCTTGTGTAGCATAATTCATAAAACACATGAGGTTAGAGCTAGTACCACGACCCGCACGAAATCCATGCTGCTCATCACAGAAATGTGCACTCACTTGTGAAGTTATACTTGCAGATAACGCGGACTCAAAAACCTTTGCAAACGTAGACAATACTGCAACAGGCCGGTATCCACTCACATCCGAACTAGGAGCCCCTTTGGGAACCGGAGTCACCCTCGTCAATTTCCATCCATCAGGGTAAACATTTTCTTTTAAACAAAGATTAAATAAGTGTCCCAGTGGGCGAGCTAGCAATTGCCGGCAGTCTTTTACAATAAATGGAGGGATCCCATCCGGACCTACCGACCGCTTCGGCTCAAGACGAAGAAGGGCAGCTCGCACTTCTCTAGGGGATAGCTGACCCACGTGCACGCGCGCACCACGTTCCGGTGCCGAAAGCACCGCCGCGGATGGGTCCAGTCTTGGCTCTTCCTCCCCGTAAACGGAACTAAAATAGTTCGCGAACTCTTGAGCACACTCGTACCCTGACAAAGATATGCCGTTCCTGATAATACATGTTTTGCTACGCCTTGAGCGCTTCTCTCCAATAAAACTCCAAAATGACTTAGGTTCCTTAGCAAATTGTGACTCCACACGATTCCGATAATTGTCGTAAGTTACAGAAATAGTGCTTTTGACCAAAGAACGATAATGAGAAAACATTGCATAAAAATATGGCGACCCACCTTTCTTAAACTTTTTGTGCCAGAAGGCCTTTTGTTTTATTTCGTCTATAAGTTCAGCCGTATACCAATCCGGATAGCGATAACGAGAGCGATCGACCCTAGTCATCTTTCTGGGTGCACTACTATTCATTGCTTTATAAAATAAATTATATAAAATAGCATACGCCTCGCTGACGCTGCCCGCACTATACAGAGTGCTCCAATCGGTCCGCTGTAATGCGGTGTATAAGGAGTGGAAGTCTGCCTTGGCAAGATTCCATCGGGGGTAAAGAGTAGCAGAAGACAGAGATATACAACACCTGAATGAAACAAAATTTAAATCATGTATAAAAAAATCTTTGTGTAGACAAGCATATTACAAATTTAATGACTATATAGAAGATAAAAATGCTTGGATGCAAGCTAGTCCGGCTCCACAGGATAACGAAAAACATTGATGTTTTAATGAAATCCAAACATGTAATTAATACAGCTATGTTGCTCATTTGTATATTGTTTAACTTATATAATAATTGTAAATGAATATTAAATTAGAATAGTTGAATACGTTTGTGTCAGCTTGGAGTTGTCATGCTCACTCAAAGGTCTCATTGGTGGCGGCACGTGCAGTGGATCGCTCGATTCCCTACAATATGGTTGAGTTGGGCGGTGCTGGGGTACGTGTCATGTTCGTAAACGGGCGCCGGCAACTGGGACTGGTCAGCTCCAGACTGTATTTTTTTTATTGTCCTTTAAGGTTATTATTTTTTTTCGATCTCTTTGACTGTATTTTAGTGTTACATTGTTCTCGCACAACCCAAACAACAAAACTATGTAACCGGAGAATTGCATTGTAAACTTGATTGAAAAAGAGTAACCTATGGAGTTTCTTGCTCGTTCTTCTCCATAGGAATCTACACCTTGGAATGAGCAAATAGCTTCACTTTTAATTTTTTTGTTGACGTTCAAAAGTGCCTTTTTGGTCTAATTGAAATAAATGATTTAATTTTTGACTTTTTTTTGCGTACCTGGATCATTCATCGCTCGTCTGTTGTCTTATACCATAAAAAATGATAAATTTAGGTAGGATTTTATAAACAAATACTCACAATACTAGTGATAGGCTTGCACAGCAGTAGCAGTCCGTCGAACAGATACGCGCGCCGCTCCGCTATTCGCTTGCCTGGACCTATCTTGGAGAGCGTGTCCTCTGTGGATTGATACACTAACTATGTAGTTAAAATATAATTTTAGACATATTACGAGTTTCAGTTTTTGACCCTGACACTGACTTTATTATGAAACAAGCTTTTACCCGCGGCTTCGCTCGCGTCACAAAAGGATAAAAAGTAGCCTGTGATATAATAATATAAACACACAGCGCCATCTATACCGATACTTTTGTTTTCCCTAGAGAATATCAAATTTTTTCCGGGATAAAAAGTACCCTATTATTTAATCCGGACTTTTAACTTTGCGTCTGCATAAATTCAAAGCAATCGATATAGTAGTTACGGTGTGATAGCGGAACAAACAAACAAACTCACTTTCCGATTTATAATATTAGTAAGGATAATACACCGTAAAAAAAACAATGTAATCTATTTCGGTTTCGTCCCGCGGCAAACCAACTTGCCACAAGGAGTACTTTCGATGTATAAAGTAAAAACAAAATAATAAAGATGTCATTTTATATTCTACTTTAATAAAAATATTCATAGTGCTTAAAACACTAGACGTAAATTTGTACGCACTATTCACATCGCACGTGCCACCCGACGCGGAATACCTCTTCAATAATTACATGGCGTCATGTTTTGATATTGTACTATGAGTTCGTATGCGCTTTCGAAGTTTGCTTTTTTTAATGGTTCACCAGTTATTTTTTGTTTAAACATTTTATTTGTTTGTAAAACTATTGTATTACCGAGACAGAACCATTTTACTTCGGGACGAAAACGAAATAGATTCCACAGGCGTATACCATGATAATTAATATTACAAGCAATCTATACAATAAAAACTTATTCGATCAAGTTTAATAAACGAAGCTAGAGTGCCTAATGTGAGTTTTTTTATTATGTAAACGCGATTGATTGGTTCAATGGAGCAGCCAATCAAAGCGCTGAACGTTATAAACATGCCGATCGCATTACATATAAATACTCGCACTGGAAAGTCCTTTGCTAGGAAAAGAGCTTAGAACAAGTATTGCCAGTGTTCATAAATAGATTTTTTTTATAATTAATTCTCCAAGGACTCTTGGTCCGCGCCCTTGTCATACATTTTTTTATTACAATACGTCTAATCAATATTTAAAAATAATATTATCTATACTAATATTATAAAGAGGAAAGATTTGTATTTTTGTATTTTTGTATTTTTGTATGTTTATAATGAATAAACTCAAAAACTACTGGACCGATTGCAATAATTTTTTCACCATTAGAAAGCTGCATTATTCAGAAGTAACATAGGCTATATAATATCACGCTAGGTCCTATAGTTGTGGAGCAGTAACCAAAAATGTTTTAAAAACGGGGGAAAAGTATCGTTTCTGAGGCCTTCCGCGGCGTGCGCTGAGCATATAGTTAAAGTTATACAAAAATGCTCTATGATGAATTGTTCATCTTAACATTATTTTTAAAAAAGTCCGCGAGAGCATATGTCTACCTTTTATAGTTTACCCATAACAATCGTTTTAATGAATGGTTCAATCCTTATAAAAGTTTGCTCTAGATAACTTTTAGGTAGGTTCCTATTTAAGAAGAAAATAATTAATTAAATAAATGAAATAAGTAAATGAAGTCCGGAAACATATTTTCAAAAGGTAAATACTTCCTAAATAAAAAAAAAAACTGAGAATAAATATAAATAAAACGTAAAACTACGTAAAAAATCTTAAGTCTTCCCGTGCGAAGCCGGGACGGGCCGCTAGTTATAAATAAAATGATTTGATTTGAATGTATGACATAGCGGGCATAAAATTGTTCATTAGACAGTAGAAAAATCTCAAGGGTCTCGCCGATGCAGCGTTAATAAAGTAGGATATAGTATTGCAGTATAGTACAATTGTTACCTCTAATAAATTCGTTACAGCACTGTCCAATGTCCCTGACGTCCCAGTTGTCCACGATGCGCGCTAGCTCGTTACACTTCTCTATGGCGAGCTGACGGCGAGCTCGGTGGGCCATTCGGAGTGTCGCGTCACTGTATAATTTACATGCAACATTAGTGAAATAAGTTAGATCTTACAACTTAACATCGCGCCTTTTATCCCCGAAGGGGTAGGCAGAGGTGCACATTACGGCAACTAATGCCACTGTACAATGTAACACCCACTTTCACTATTTATGAGTCCAATGTAATAGGGGGTGAGCCTATTGCCATATAACGGGCACAATTCCAGACTCCGTGCTAACACTGAGATTTTTTTAAATCCACTAATACACAGCCCGACCCGGGGATCGAACCCGAGACGATGCTGCTGCTCAATCCCCAAGCAGTCACCGGTGACCGCTACCCACTAACTACATCATAGACTTTATTTCTAATGTTTAGAGACTACTTATGTGTGAACAAAATTTCGGTACGATATATCGACGTATTAGGATCGGTTATTATAAGATATCAATGGCATTATAAATGTATACTCACAGTTTTGGTCCATTCCCCAACGCCTTGATCAATAGTTTCTTGATCGGATGCAAATTACACTCCACCTGACATCGAGACTTAAAATTAATACATAGTTTAAAACTAATATGGTACATGAAACACCAGAAATATGCCAAGTCGGTAATCTCAGAATGCAACATTTTTAAATACTAAACATAACATAACATCACGCCTTTTATCCCCGAAGGGGTAGACAGAGGTGCATATTATGCCACTGTACAATGTTACACCCACTTCTCAATATTTATGTTATGAATCCCATGTAATAGGGGGTGAGCCTATTGCCATATACCGGGCACAATTCCAGACACCGTGCTACTACTGAGAATTTTAAAAGAACCCAGTAATACTTTGCCCGACCCGGGAATCGAACCCGAGACCCCTTGGCCTGCAGTCGCACTTGCGACCACTCGGCCAACGAGGCAGTCATTTTTAAATACCTATTATAAAAAAGGTAAGTTCGTCTGTAATGATGTTGGAACATTGAATGTATACAAATTTAAAAATGTTGATACTTTAAACATATAGTATTGCCCTATAGTGAAATAACAAAAAAAAAACAAAATAAATAAGGTTTTAAAATAAACAATATAAAATTTTTCTTCACCTTCAAATTCGTGAGAATTTATTAACAACACTATTCGTGGCTCTCATTTAATGTCTTTGTAATAGATACAATAGGAATATGGGGTCATTAGGATCCCACATTTCAAACATGATGCCAGAATCAGCCATTGCGAGTGACACAATACTAGGTTATGATTTTATGACTAATGACCCCAATTGGGTAGTTCCCAGGGTATCAAAATTTAAAATCTAAATAGTCCGTCCGTTAATGAAAAAATATTAGACAAATATTTTTTTTATTTTCTCGTATTAAATTGCAATACTAAGATAAAATGGCGCTAAAATTAGGAGTGGGAGGTCGTTACGTCATAACGTGTTACAAAATGTGGCACGTTGTAACGTCACACGATATTTCAAATTAATATATCGTCGAAAGTATTTAATTTTGTGAGAAAAGAAAAAATACGTGACTAAAGTTTTAAATCAATGTACCAGACGGACATTAAAATTAAATTTAGGGAAGTACCCTATTAAACACAATTAACAAAGACATCCCATAATTTTATTTTTTCAAATACTCTTAAGACTGGGGTCTAGTATAGTTTTCATTATTAGTTCCTAGAATGGGGGTCTAATAATATAGTTTTAGTGACACATGACCCCACTGACCTGTTTAAAGCTCTCCCTGTCTTCAGACGCAGGAGTTATCTGTAATAACATTGTGTCGATAGAATAATATTTTATACAGCGCCTGGATCCTTTGTTAGTATGTTAGTTTATTAGTACTGTTTAGTTTTATAAGTAAAAGTTTGATTAGCGCTGTTAATGTGTTATTTTCTTATTTCTATCGTTATGGTTTTAGAACCATTCAGTAACTCATATATATTGAGTAGCACTCGGCTACAATTTCGCAATGACCCCAAATAGACCCCGAGATTTTAATACTTTAAATATTCTTATCTTATTGGGACGTGACTCAAACAGGGATATGGAATGGAACTTTAACATGGAATGTTAAACAATAAAAAATAAGGGGTCCAAAAACAAAAAAAAAATAACAATCCTAAATACTGCTAACAAGTGTTTATTGAAAGAGTACTTAGTCGATTGCTTTGATTTAATTCCTTCAAAATGTAATCGAAGATGATTGTCCTAAAAGATCGACATTCTTTATTACCGTTAATGGTAAGACAGGCTGATGTAATGGTTTTTACGTTAAAGTGAAAATAATTAACCATTTTTGTAACAAGCAGGTAAGCAGTTACAAATTATAACAAATACGAATACGAGTCAATAGTCATTATGACAAAAATGACTAATGACCCCCATCTCATTTACAAAGGGGGTCACTAATCACATTTCAAAAAAATATCACTATTGAAGCATATTCTGACCTAAATTAATTATTATCGGTCACAGTGTAGCAAAGGGTGTGAAAGAAATTTGGGAATTAAAAAAATTTTCATAAAATATGAAAATTCTTCGAAATGGTTAGTTTTTCATTTCCAATGCTTAGTATACCTAAAACTAAGGTGAAAAGCATTTGGGCACTTTCTGTCTAAGACTTCAGTTTCGCCTGAAAATGAGCCCTAAAGGTCAGCTGGCGGAGTATGTAAAACCACTTTTTGAGCACCCCGACATATTTGGTTAGGTTAGAACTGTGAGGTCCTCGTGGTCGTCCACGCGAGTATTCTCATTTTTTAAACCCTTTGCTACATTCCAATCTTATTATCACTTTTGGCTTACACACGTAACTGTTTGGCGATAAACTCTATTAGTTACAAGCCATGCTAGCGGCTCATATTCATGAGCAGTGTTCCGCGAATGTCGAAATTCGTGTGTCATAAATAAGAGCCTCTAGCATAGCCTGAAACTAGTCGAGTTACTCCTCAAACACGGGGGTAACGGCTGATTTTTCAAACGCCAGATAAATTTCTACAGAGGAATAAGTTTAAATATTTGACAATACTTCCATACTAAAATCTACATTTAACAATTATCTGTTGATTGAAAAATCAGTTCTAAGCCGAAGAAGAATGTCTTGTGTAACTTGACAACACGGTTATTGAGGTGGCTGGGCAACCGGCTGCCGCGCAACGTGTCGCGAGTTTGATCCCCGCTCAGAGCAACTCTTGCCCAGTCAGCGCGCCATCCGTGCAGTCATCAAGTGTCAGTCTGTCCATCAGTGGAGCTACGTGCAAAGTTCGCAAAGTTATTATATAAATCCTGACCTGTTTGAAGCTCTCCCTGTCTTCGGAAGCGGGGGCGATCTGCAGCAGCGCCAGGACATAGTTGTGGTAGAGGAAGACATGCGCCACCGGCGCCATCAGCAACTTGGGCAGGTAGTACTTCACGGCCAGCCGGAACCCGTGCCCCGCCGTGTCCAGCCGCTCCGACAGCTAAGGGGGGAGAGGTAAATGTGTATTTTCATTGAGCCGACATTTCCTACCGACTATTCCAAAAAGAAATACCGAAACAAACTTAGACGCTTGCACGAATGGGCCGGCTCGACCAGAGTGAGTGACTCGAGTAGACTGCCCGACGTGAAGCAACGCTTGCGTTGTGTTTCGTCTTGTGAGTGAGGTTACCGGAGGCCCAATGACCCCCCCCCCTCCCCTTCCCAATCCCTGAATCCCCAACAATCCTCAAATTCCTAAGCCCAAAAGGCCGGTAACGCACTTGTAACGCCTCTAGTGTTCCAGGTATTGATAGGCGACGCCGACTGCTTACCATCAGGTGATCCGTCTGCTCGTTTACCGGCTTATCCCATAAAAAAGAGGTGTCAGTCACTTTCACTTTCAAACATGATTTACAAAGTACATCAAAGTTAGTTCACTCTAATTGTAATAATATTCACTGTTAAAATCTCAATAACAATTTCACAACACTGTTTCTAATGGTCAACACTGATACAAATGATTGCAATCACGAAAGGTCTCTGCACACAGCGGGCGCGGCGCGACGGGACAGGACGGGACGGGGCGGGACGGGACGGGACGGGACGGGACGGGACGGGACGGCGACGCGACACTGAGCAGTTGTCATGTACTAGATCTAGATATTACGGACGACGCCACACACAGCCGTGGGGTACCGTCGCGTCGCCGTCGCCTGGTTCGCACTGCGCTAGTATTTTAGTCGAGTAGCGAGTTTTTGGTATCTCACTCTCGCTTCGATTTTGAACAGAAGCCAAAAGACAAGAAGACAAGACAAGCCAAAAGACTAATGATTGCAATCACTAAAGCCTTGTTCGTACTGACCTAGTAGAGAGAGCTACTAAAGACTCGCTACTCGACTGAAATACTAGCGCAGTGCGAACAAGGCTTAATCGACGTACGACGAATATGCTTCGTACGTTCGCTCGGAGTGCAAGCCAACAGTGCGTGCTGTGCCATGTTGAAGTCCCTCAATGTCCCCACTATAAGGGAAGGACATGACGTCACAACTGACTGTTGAAGCGCGCCATCTTTATTCATATTGTTGTTATTTCTTCGGTTTGGGGTACATCAAAATCCCGTACTAATGACCGTTCCGACATATTTTAATAATATTAATCTAGCACCTGAATGACCGAGCATTGCTCGATGTCTTTTTTTAGTTCATAACTTTTTTATAAAAAATATAGTTAAAATAGAACCAAAATGGAAAATAAGATAAAACAGAAAAAATAAAAGAAACATTACGACCAAAGTTTGAACTGGAATGTCCTGAATGAGCGTCCGCTTTCCCTACCAAGCTATTTGAACTATAAAATTATTGGCGAAATTTAGCTTCGTCTTCCAATAAGAACTTTTATTTAATGAAAAACCGACATTTTGTGAACATCAACCTAGCTACATTCATTTATCGCCCCCGAAAACGCCCTACGTGCAAAATTTCAAGAAGATTGATAGCGATGATGATAATTGTTAAATTAAAGGCGTATTGACTGGTTTAATTACATTACAATAAATCTTTATTATACCGGTACTAGTTATGATGTTTTACAGACATTAGAAAAGGTGGGAGTTAGAAAAAAAAGTTACAAGCAGCCAAGCGTGAGTTGGCGTCATAAGGCGCGAAATTCAAATCACATATTTTTTAATTTAACAATAAATGTGTATTTTTTTTTACTTTTAGTGAAATGTCATAAGCGATACTGTTCTATTGTTTTTGTATGAGAATACTAGTTGAGACGTATTTTTTTTCCGGCTTTAACTGCTCAATAAGCGGTCACCGGTAACCTCGCTCCACTCCATTATAGACCTTATACCCGACGTTTAGAGACTACTTTTGTATGAACAAGTGTATACTACATATTTGTATAACAATTATTACAATATACTCACAACGGGGTCATCCACAATAGCTTGCAGCGCGTCCCTGGACTCCTTGCGAGTGACGATGTTAGCGTAGCGCACGTACGCACGGAACTCTTCTACTTCTGCCAGCTCTGTAATTAATAATAGGGGCATATAGATACGGTTACGTATAAAACGCTTTTTTTTAAGGGGGAAAATCATCGAACGACTGCTCCCACCTAGGTGAGGCGGGAGGGAGTGTCAGACTCTTATTGACCGGAGCCCCGGTTACCCGTTAGGTTCTCCGCGACAATAAAGGACGGTCTAGATTTTGTTTTTTGTGTGTCATGGTTCCGTTTCGGAGACATTTTTACATGTGTCCACCCGAAACCTGAGAATGTTACCCAGTCTCTTTTGAATGGGCAAGTCCCTTAGTCGGGTATAGTATACGACACACACGTGAAGAGCGGTAGTAGTGTTAAAAATTACATAACATCACGCCTTTTGTTCCCCAAGGGGAAGGCAAAGGTGCACATTAAGGCACTTAATGCCACTGTACAATGTAACACACTTTTCACTATTTATTTTCATTGTTTTTGGTAAAATATGAAATGTAATGCTATTATTATTATTTCTACACCGGAGACGGTTGTATATGTGAAACTGCTGTATTGTTAAGATCTGTGTGCACTATATACTGAGAAATAAACGATATTATTATTATTATAAGTCCCATGTAATAGGGGGTGAGCCTATTGCCATATATGATAAAAAATTTATGTTTAAAAATAATAATACCTTCAAAGCAGCTCCCGATATACGGCGTGGGCGAGTCCTGCGACATCTCCATGGCGTCCTCCAGGTTGCCCAGCAGAGTCACCGTCAGCTCGTATATGTCCACTATGTTGCCGAATATTAGGGATATCGCCTGCAAATTAACACACAAATACTCATACATTTTTGATTTTTGAGGATGACTTAATGCGATACTTTTTTTAAGAGGGGAAAGTCATCGAATGACTGCTTCCGCCTGGGTGAGGCGGAAGGGAGTGTCAGACTCTTACTGACTAAAAACCACCCCGTTCCTTCTCCTGCACGTCGAGCCGGAGCCCCGGTTACCCGTTAGGTTCTCCGCGACTTAATGCGATACTAGCGCCACTCTTGACGTAACAATAATAATATTTTAGAAATAGTTAACTTCTTTAAAGACAAAAATGCGGACACTAACACAGAATTTCACACACAGAGACCCGGAATAACAATTTATAGAACACACAAAAAGTTCAGGGGGAATCGATCCCGCACTAGAGCCAGTCGCCCGGTCAACAGTGTCTTTAATTGGCCTTGTTCCGAGTCTGGGTATGATGTGAATATGAATTTGTATATTTGTAAAAGCATCTACGACACAGGAAAAAATCCTAGTGTCTGGCAAAGCAATATTTTTAAACATAATAGTCCCTTTAGTCGGGTATACGACACCCGCATGAAGAGCAGCGATGGTGGCAAATGTATAATACTTACTCGACTATCCTTATCCAAAATTTTCTCGAGCTCATCTTTGAACACCCTGATGATGAGGTTGAGGTCCCTGAGAAAGTGCTTCTCATCAGTAAGGAGGTCCCTGACGAGCTCCGCGTACGAGAGGGAGCCGCGACGGCCTCGTCTCTCCGAGCCACCGCCAGAGGTCTCTGAGGTCGTTAGCTCCGATTCTTGGTAGAACATGTCCATTAGTACCTGAGGAGGGAAAGAGGGTCGTCTTAATGTGTTTTCTGGAAGTAATTCTATATTTATGGTATTTTATGACATGAAGGGATAGGCAGCAGTGGTCATATGAAATGGAAAACAATCTTTTAAATCGATACACTTAAAAAATGAAAGAATCTCAAGTTGTATATATGTTACTGTAAAAGCTCGAACTGCAGTAAATCCTAAGATATTCCAGTAAAACCTAAGATCTACCAATTCCTAATGGTAAACGTCCAAAAAAATTTGCGATTCGAACTTTTACCACCATTCCGTTGGTAAATCTTAGGATTTATATCAACGGCATGGTAAATGTTGAAAAACAAAACATGTCATAATGTGCTCAGCGCATCGCCTTGTAGCTTGCCGCCCCCGCTACCCGCGCACCGTCTCCGCCACTCCGCTCGCCTCAATCGCTCGTTTGACACGTTTGAACTCGCACGATAAATTGATTTATAATTATATTTTTGGTGTTTAAAAGTTATTTATGAATAAAAATGAGTATGTAGCAAAGATTTTATCCCTTAAAAAAAATAATAAAAATAAATCATAAGACATCAAAGAAAACATTTTCCTCATCGCTACCGTGAGGTAGGGTGCCCAAAAGACTGGCAGCATTGCCACGTTTAATGGCAATGCTTAACCTTTGCCCAAGTTAGTAGCCAGCCCTTCGATCATCTGAGGTGTCAACCATCCTCCTTACAATATCTTTGTAAAGAAGATGTGCACTTGGGCCCCACGGCCCTAAAGTTTCAACCCCAAACGGTTCGAAAGCATAATTGCCAATCAGGCTATTATACTTTCGCCGTTTGAGGTTCTCGGCAGCAGCAGCGGCAGCCCCGGCTCGACACGCTGAGCTTAGAAGATGGGATGGCGCCAGAGTATCAAAGCAAGTGGCGTCCCATACTAAAGCCCTACCCATCTTCCAAGGGAATAATGACATACCGTCGGGTCTCTTTCCATCGTCGTGTACCAAGCCATTAGGTTCTAAAGTAGCTGGCACGCCAACTGAGGCAAGAGCTCGACGAATTATGTCATTAATACTTGCGTGTCGAGCAAAACGGCCCGCACTACGGCTACATGACAAGCCGTGGTGTCCAAGGCTATTGACATCTTCACCACAACGACAACGATGAGGTGAACAAAATGAAGCTCCAAGCCTTAAACAAATTTTATTAAATAATGGACGAGCTTGTGGCAAACAAAAAGATAATAACAAATACGCTAAGCGTTTAAAGGACGTAAAAACTGGAAAGAACATTTAAAGAAGGAACATTAAAGAAAATGTTTTTTTAGGAACCTTACCTATTAATCAATTACATTCGATTATCTTTATTTACTTGTAAACCAAATAATAAGAAAAATAATAATTAAGTTAGACTAGCTTTTATAAGCATTATGTTTGTATTTCATTGTTAAATTCCAAATAGAGAAGTACTGATTCAGTTAGATAGATATGGCAGAGATTAAGATATTCAGATACGTGTTTTTTCAAAATAATTTTAATAAGTTTGTACTTGTTACTATCATTATGATATCTTTATAAGACTATTGTCGGAATACTGAAACGCTACTCAATTTTAAGTCGCGCTTAAACTGTCAAGCACCAAGCGGTCACCGGTGACCGCAACCTATTGTTCTATAATTGTGTCTACAAAACCGGTACTCGACGAGTTAAGAATAGTTCTGTCACCACTAATTCTTTGTAAAATGACAGAGATGGCACGATATTTGAGCACGACTTAAAATTGAGTAACGTTTCAGTATTCCGGCATAAATGTACCGGTTTTGTCTAATAGTTCAAAGTAAATAATTAAAATTACTCATTGTTTTATTCCTAAAACCAACATTTACCAGCTGACAGTGGTAAAACCTAGCATATACTGAGTTCGAATGGTAAAAGCTAGAAAAAAACGTCGTATCTTCAGAAATACTTACATTTACCAACTCATGTCGGTAAATCCTAAGACTTACACTTAAATCTTAAGATTTACCGTAGTTCGAGCTTTTACAGTAACATATACATATAATGTTTGTCCACGATTATTTCGCAATTGGCTGAACCAATTTTGGTGTGATTTTCAGTAAAGTGTTTGTCACACCTAGGTGCAGATTTAAGTATATTAATCGACATAAAAAAAGGAGGTTTAAGTAGATTATTTTAAACGTAGTTTATTGAAAATGATCCAAAATTATATTTTGATCTTACGCACCATGCAAGTGGGCGGCGCTGATTGCTTATCATCAGGAGACCCGTCTGCTCATTTGTTGGCATCACTACATAGTATAAAACAAAGTCGCTATCCTCCGTCTGTCTGTCCCTATGTATGCTCAGATCTTTAAAACTACGCAACGAATTTTGATGCGTTTTTTTTAAATAGATAGAGTGATTCTTAAGGAAGGTTTATATGTATAATACATGCATATTGCCGCTGTGTCAAGCCGGGGCGGGTCGCTAGTATACCATAATTCATAAGTCCTTTTTTATGTCGAAGGTATTATAATAAGACTTGAACACTTGATTCCACGGGGAAATTCTAATGTTCTTTAAAACAAAAAACAAGAGGTACTCACCTTATCAGCACACATAGCAGTCTTAATGTCCCGGCACGTGATAGTATCATACCCAGACTTCTGGGATATCTTCTTGACATAGTTCCCAGCCAACCGCAGTATATCGCTGCTCATAAACTCCAGCACAGCCGTAATGAACTGTGACACAGACACATCTATTTTGTATAGAAGCACCTCCTTTTGTAGAAGCTGGTGGAGCTTGTCGCAGGGGATCATCGGCTTCCGTCGCTTGATGGTGACCAAATCGCGGGCCTCTGTGATCGCCCATTTGTCTAATGGTGTCGGGAATGTGCGCGCTACTCTTTCTTCTACGTCCTGAGGATAAGCAAAAATATATAAAGAAACATTTTTAACCGACTTCAAAAAATAGAAGGAGGATCTCAGTTTGACCCGTATGTATGTATAGGCCCAATTACCCCCCTATCCTTCCCCAATTCCTGAATCCTCAACAATCCTCAAATTCTTAATCCCAAAAGGTCGGTAACGCACTTGTAATGCCTCTAGTGTTCGAGTGTCCATGAGCGACACCGATTGCTATTCATCAGATGAACCTTCTGTTCGTTTACCGACCAATTGCATAAAAAAAATATATTTGTGCGCGATTACGTCACGCTTAACTGAACCGATCTTGTTGCAGTTGTTAGACAAGTGTTACACCTGGGAGAAGGCTTTAGTATAATCAAACCGACATCAAAAGAGGGAGTTGAAGTTGTTTTTTTTTAACATAATTCCAGATACCAAGGAGAATCATCGAAAACTGGGATTCTAATCCGAAATGTCATGGTCTACAGTCGCGCTTGCGGCCACTCGAACGACAAAGTTACATAAATACGGTTACTTAACAAATTAACTGAATTATCTTTAACATTGCTTCAATTAGATATTCATCTACAAGCAAGCAATCCTCAGAAGGCCGGTAACGCACTTGTAACGCGTCTAGTGTTCCGGGTGTCTATGGGCGGCGCCAATTGCTTACCATCAGGTGATCCATCACCAGTTTATCCAATAAAAAAATCTAGGAAAGCTCACGGGAGCTGGTCTAAATATTTAAAAACACTAGACTCTGCTCAAAAGACAGTAACCGCCGTACTTATTGACTGGCTATTCAACCCAGTCCTTGGCTATTGTTTTCGGAACAAATTCGTTACAGGACAGTTTAAGTAATCAGAAACTCCTGAAAGAACAGTATTTGTTCGTACCTGCACTGTAAGTGGCGAGGGCACGGCGCAGAGCATAGCGAGTAGCCGTAGACAAAGTGACTCCACATACTGTAGCGCGCTCTCCTCCGCTGTCAGGGTGGGGTGCTCGTGGTCCAGCACCTACATACATAAACACAATGTTAAAGTCTATGACTGCCAATAGACTGCCTCCGCTAGTCATTCATGAGCAGCATTCCACAACACAGGGTTCGGCGACTAGCGTGGTCCTAAAAATGAGCCCGAAGCATGGCTTGAAAGTAGTCGAATTAAAGTTACATGAGTCAGCCAAAGAAATAATTATTAAGTAATTTATTTGTGAGAATTTTTGTTTATTACTCTTTTATACCGAAATCGCTGAATATATTTTTTGTGTACGTAATTTTAAGTACCTATTGGCTTAAATTTTGGTAATTTTTGTTCTTTTTCTTTGTTCATGTCATGTTACGCACAGTGTCTTACGTTTTTACCGTTTTTCCTGTCGAAGGACTGCAGGAAGAGATTCCTACGGGAATATGTAGCTATGTACCTCCAATTTATTTATATATGTGTATTCCTGTGAACTGTCTCTGTGTTGTGCATAAATAAATAAATTTTTGACTTTTAATATACAGATAGATTAAGACCTGAAATAACACAGGGTAAGTTACCACAATAACTTATTCAGGTGAATTTTTTTTTTATACCACGACGGTGGCAAAAAGACACAGAGCCCACCTGATGGTAAGCGGTTACCGTGGCCTATGTACGCTTGCAGCACTTGGGGCATTACATGCGCCTTGTCGACCCTTAAGAAACCTCCCCTCTTGAAGAACCCCATGTTGTAGCCCACGGCTGGGAGTTCGGGACTGCAGGGAAAGCGTTCAATTTAAAATAACATTACATTACATAATTATAGTTATTTAAGAAATTATAGAATACACTTAAGACATTCTCTCGTTCATTTTATTTTCATTTAGTTGTCTGACGCCTTTGTACGATTTTGACGCTCAACGCTCTGATTGGCCGGCTCCAATGAACCAACCAATCAAGAGTGCCGAATGAGTACTCGTTTCGATTACTTTAAACTTAAACTAAATCGCACTAAGGACTTATGGGTCTGTGACTGTGTGAGATATAGAACAGAAAACTTTTACTTATTACAACTTCAACAATACTCAAGTCCAAATTATATGTCAAATGTTTGTAAACAAACCCCATGAAGGCGTGGAAGAGCCATGCTACGGCACGAATGGGCCGGCTCAACCGGAGTGAGACCACGGCCGAGCAGAAAACCCTAATGAAACAACGCCTGCGTTGTGTTTCCTCGTGTGAGTGAGGTTACTGGAGGCCCAATTAATACAATCAGACCAGGAAGGCACTTTTGAACGTCAACAAAAAGTGAAGTTATTTGCTCATTCGAAGGCGTAGATTCCTATGGAGAAGAACGAGCAAAAAACCCCATAGGTTTTTTTTCAATCAGATTCACAATACAATTCTCTAGTTACATAGTTTTGTTGGTATCCCCAAAAGGCCGATAACCCACGTGTAACACCTCTGGTGTTGCATGTGACTATGTCATAAAAAAAGGAAGAACTGCATTAATTTTACACCCATCCTCTGTATCCTCTATTAGCCTCGAAAAGTGTTATTTAGTACGGTCAGAGACAGTTTTAAGCCAAGCATACACTAGGGACAAATGTACTGCGTCACGTGTCGCCAGCGACGTTGGGTGAGGTAGCGCGACGTTGCCGGACTTTGACTGACATGTCTGGCAACATCAACGTCGCTGCGGACATAAGGCACGCGTTGTCGCCATATAATATACGCCATATATATATAAACTGTACTAGTAGTATAATACCACTATGTATATACATTTTGCAATAAATAAATAAATAAATAAATAATATGTAGTGTCGTGTCGTGGGACATTTCTCCCCTTGTGTATCCTTGACTAGTCTTGTGATTTGTTTACTAACATTACACATCGATCAATATACATAAACAGTTTTTTTTTCTATTAATGTGTGTCAATGATATTTTGTAACTCACTAAACTACTGGACAGTTGTTATCAGTTATTTTTGATAGTTATCAAAAATGTTTAGTATGTTTAGTATCGCGGCAGGCCCAAAGGAGATCATGACAAATTAGACATCTATGATATAAGGATTGGCCGCAAAAAGCTTTACATAGAGAGGACTGGAAGGAGGGTAGGGAGGCCTTTGCCCTGCAGTGGGACGATCATGGCTGAATATAAAAATAAAATTGTATGTGAAGGAAAATAAATCAATATTATTGTTGTCCTTTCAACTCATCAAATTATTTTCTTATAGTCCAATGTCATGTAACTGATAACAAAACTGTATTAACTAATTGTCCAGCTTCTTTACAAAGATATTGTAAAGAGGATGGTTGACACTTCAGGTGATCGAAAGGCTGGCTTCTACCTTGGTCAAAGGTTAAGTATTACCATCCAATGTGGCAATGCTGCCAGCCTTTTGCACACCTCACCTCATGACAATGATGAGGATATTTATTTTGTTATGTGATAAGTTAGATTTTCCTTTATTTTTTTTCTATATATTCCTCATGTTAATTATACTTGTAAATACTTTAGTTTTTATTTAACTCATCGAGTACCGTCATTATAGACACAATTATAGAACAATAGGTTGCGGTCACCGGTGACCGCTTGGTGTTTGACAGTTTAATTTAGCTGCAGTTTTTATTATTGTCCAGTTTGTTTGTTCATTTACAAGATATCTTCACTTACTTTAACATTTACCTTTTGCATCACAGAATATAACCACATCATTTCCTACTAATATTCATCATCATCATCATCATCATCAGCCTGTATTCGTCCACTGCTGGACATAGGCCTCTCTCTCCATTGGAGAGGCCTACTAATATTAGAACAGAAAAATTTTGTATGTTATGGGCAAATACTATGTTTGTTACTCTTTCATCTAAAAACTACTAGATGAAACAGAACATTGAAATCTAGATGAAAAAAACTTAGCACAAAGATAATTAGATTTGTAACATAAGGCCCCTTTTAATTCAGGTTCCCGGATCAGACGGCTGGCTGAATGCTAGTTACATTATAATTCAATCATGCAATAAAATTACAATTTGGTACTTGCCAACTAGTCAAATTCAACACTTATTTCGAACTGTCAAAAACAACAGTTTTCTATGAATTTTGTACGAAATTGTGTATTGTGACGTCACGTTTTTTAGCGTCAAACAGTGTATTTATTTCTTAAAAATTTGCTGGAACAATACTAAAATTAAGTTGGTCATAAAATCAATTAATGAAAGTGTGATTATTTTTTAATATTTTATTGTATTGACAAGTCGAAATAATTTATTTTTGATTAAGTCAAGTACCCAATTGAAAGAAAAGTTTTAAATTACAATTTTGTAATAACAATACGCACTTAAAACTCATTCTTAACATTACTCATCATCATCAACAGCCTATAAGTGCCTAATGCTGAGCAAAAACCTCTTCTCAAACGGTGAAGGTTTGAGCATTAATCACCACGCTTGCTCATTGCAAGTTGGCAATTTAAAACTTTTTTTTTTTTTTGGTTCTTTTTTTTTTTAAAGAACGTTGCCCCACACTAGGATTTTCTCCTGTGTCGTGGGTGCGTTTACAAACATACAAGTTCACATACACAATGACACCCAGACCCGAAACAACAATTTGTGGATCACACAAAGTGTTGTCCCGTGCGGGAATCGAACCCGCGACACGTTGCACGGCAGCCGGTTGCCCAGCCACCGCACCAACCGTGCAGTCAGATTAGTCAATTAGAAATTATAAATACAGGTTTCCTTACGATGTTTGTCGTTCAATGTTTGTCAGTGGTGTCTAAATAATCTTAGAAAGTCAATGTAACTCAGAAAAACTCACATTGGTACTTGCCATTGATAGGTTTTTAACCCACATCAGAGCGGGGATCTATACCTCCAGGCCACCATGACAGTCTTAACATACCAATTAATTAATAATGACAGAGATAGACATATGACAATTACCTACACTACACAAGTTGTAGATGAGTAATACACTCAGGATTATAATATGGTGCAAATAGTTCTACATTAATTTGAGGCTGAAGTTACGGTTCATATATATAGGGCCTATTTCACAATATCTGATTAAGGACCATTTTTTCCAACTACAGTTAAGAATTAACAGGTTTAGATGATTGAAAAGTTGGTTCTAAGTTGCTAAAGCTTAACTAATATGGGATACAAGGTACAAGGTACATTTTTCTTTTCATTTTATTGAACCCTCTATTTAACTTTAAAAAAATATTCCTTTTACAACAATTTTTTTATGGTATAGGAGGCTAACAAGCAGACGGATCACCTGATGGTAAGCGATCAGCGCCGCTCATGGACACCCGTAACACCAGAGGAGTCATAGGTGCGTTGCCGTCCTTTTAAAAAGAAATATTTAGTTTTTTATTTAAGCTTCATGCACAAAGTGTACATGAGGTGGACTTGATGCCCCAGGCATTTTCTCCCAGTCATATTCAGGTGATGAATTTGCTCTCATTTTAATTTCTTTTCATACAACATACATTACAAATTAATAAAATATTGGTATCAGAAAAGATTTATTAAGAATTGAAATAGAAAAGACGTTAGTGGTTCCGCTTTTTAACTCCTAAGTGTAGTGTTTGGATAATTTCATATGGAAAAATAGTAAATAAATATTTATCACTTAATAATTCTAACTGGAACTTATTCAGACATTGTAAATTTTTTTTTTTACAATCATATTGTTGTATATTGACTAAAGCCTGAACTGAACCGATTTTAATACAAAATCCCTGTTTTTGGACAGGAAATCCACAAAACTAATGTGCAAAAATAATACCCTTCCTACAACATAACATAACATCACGCCTTTTATCCCCGAAGGGGTAGAAAGAGGTGTACATTATGGCAATTAAGACCACTGTACAATGTAACACCCACTTTTCACCCTTTCTACAGACGGGTACAAATTGATCTCAATCCCTTCCAAAACCCAGATTTTGGATTATACGATCATGAAGTGCAATACTGAAAAGCTACTGAATTTAAAGTTGTACTTAAATATTGTGTCATCTCTGTCATTTTACAAAGAATTTGTGACAGAACTATAGTTAAGCGCGACTTGAATATTTGTACATTAGTCTTATGTTTTAAGTTCATTATTAACTCGATGATTACTTTATGTTTAATTAAATATAATATGTAAACAACACTGGTCAACAAAAAAAATAAAATCGTCTGTTCCCTATAAATTTTTTTTTTTTTATTTAAAATATGGTAACAATTTTTCTGTCACAGCTTTTGTTTTTGAGTTGCAGCTAACTACCCTCCATTACTATGTTTACTTATATGTAGTTGCGTTTTTTATTGGACATTGAAATGTATTTTCTTATTGTTTTCGATATAGCTTTGTCAAGAAGATGTTGTGTAGTTAATCCTAATTCTTTTTGCAACATTTGTGGTAAATATGTATTTGCAAAATATTGAAAACTTATATTGAACTTTACAAAAACTGTGTATCATCAATACTTTAAAATAAAATTGTGTAATGAGTTAGGGTGCAATTTCCACATAATCTAGGTGATTTTAGATTTGACCTGGGTGAAAGATTCCAACAGGGTCTTCAAACAATAGCAGAGCGGTATCAGGGGCGGTGGGACTCACATATGATGCAGACTACTGCCAGAGTCTGCAACATGATCTACCTAAAGTCGTTCATTCAAGAAACCCATATAAAAGATCATTTGATAATGTTTAATAGAAATTTTGTTAACATCATTTACAATTATCTGTACTTTTTATCAAAATAATTATACTCTATATTTCAAAAACTGAAGCTGTTAGCAATCTTCCAGTATTTTTTTCATACTTAGGGCCATAGAAATATCCAACACCAGAAAAAAATAAAGGAAACTAGACTTGTGTTGACCAGTGTAATCAATTGGTTAGGCTACTTCCCTTATTTATGTCATCAAAATAATTTTGTTAGAAACTATGTTGTTTATTAATGTCTTATACCAGTATAACATAAAGGTATGTTGACTTTGAAATTTTTTTGTCATAAAAATCTTATTTTTATGTTTGAGTGAATACAATAATAAATAGGTACTATGTAAATACTAGGTCTAATCTATCTTTAACATGATTATAATTAAACATCATAAGTTAATATTATATACCTAAATATTTCTTTCACACAATATTCAAATAACAAAAATACAACTTTAATAGGTTCAATTCAACAAAATTACGAGTAAATCCGCGGCATATCGTAGCCTTACGATGACCGTGCAATCATTTACAATCAGAATTACTGCAGATTTCGTTTGATAAGCTATCAGGAACCTTCACGAGGGCCACTACAATACTATCACAATAACATAGCCTTATCGACACCTGGACCGTAATACTCACTACAAGACATTAGTAAGCGTTATTCTATACATCTAAACACTGTAATAATACATACAGTATCAATAATTGACAATTCTATCGATAATTTGCAAACAATAAGTCATGATACAAACTTCGATTCGCTCACCTTTCGAAGAGGATTTATAAACACGCCGCGCCACTTCTCGACATTCTCAGGGTCCTGGAAGTCGTACCCTCGCGTCTCCTCCACTGTCGGTAACATTTTACCAAGTTGCCCCGCGCCGAAATCATGTAAACACCAATGTTATCACACTGACAAAACATAAAGCACCATTTCTGGTTTCACTTGCACTCTACACGTTTCTCACTAATATAAACACCGCAAAATACGCGTAAATCAGTCAAATTCTTTTGTTATCAACGTTTGATTGTAAAATATTGAATTGCTAAATTGAATTAATTGAAAAATATATTCTTTGATTCATTTGGTCGGCTAAACGACGCCATTTTCAATTTATTTATCATTGGTTCGTTCTCTTTGTTCGACAGCAATCCATAGACGTTTGTTCCGATTCACGTTAAAGACATTACACTTTCACAGTTTGACGCAAGATGTTTCATATATTTTTGAAAAAGTAACATGACTTTTGTGTTCTTTTTTGTGTCTCATGTTACGAATCGGACACAAATTTCAAATTATCTTTGTTTTCATTGAAACATTTACCAATATTCAAAGAAATTGGCAGACAACGGGATTTTGCGCAAGTTGGTTTTAAGTGAAAATCAATATATTTTTATGAGTGACAATGTATGACCGTTTGTACTCATCAGACAAAGATAAACGCAGCTTTTCTATTTATTTTTACTCTCAATCAATTTTTACCCGCGGCCTAACTAAAAATACGTAATACATGACTCGGATTACTTTAGATATTTTTTATTTCAGGCTGTTAATGGGAATGCTAACACTCTTGCACCAACATTTTACTTTAAATAAGCATACGTAGTGAATATATTTATATTACATGCTATACAGCAACAGTAAGACATTCGTCGATAATCTTGTTTATATGTAAATAAATTCGTCTTCAACGGCGGTTTAGACAACATTTAATAGGGGTTCATTCATCACCAGTTCACTTGCATGATTGCATCCACGGCTGAATATAGGCTTCTATTAGTCGAGACGTGGAGAAATCTCAAACATGGTCTCGAGTTTGATTCCCAGTTCGGTAGAAATCATGATAAATGGATGGATATGGATAGCATGATAATATTATTATACGATGCTTAAGACTGCACTTAGGGAAATAAAATAAGTATACGTCGTATTCGTAGAAGTAATATTACTATTCTGCACGTTATTACAAATAATTTTTTTAGCACTTTTATAGGCAAAATATTTCTCTAAATCGTTAAATGTTCGAAGAATACATAATATATGAATAATCCTATTAACATTAATCAAACAAAAATCAAACACGTGAGTAACCCGCGTTTTTACTTAATTTAGTATGTCTCACGATAGTTATTATAAAAACAAAAATCAAACATTTCACATTAATTAATATATTAAGGATTTTATAAAGAGTTCCACTGTGTATAAAATCATGCCAACCACACTCCGCGGTGGGTATCCGTGGGCGGCGCTCAGCTTACCATCAGGTGATCCGTCTGCTTGTTAAGAACGTAAAGAAAATATATTTATAAGGAAGGTTTTATTCATTAATAAAAGAGCTTAATTTATATAATTATAAATAAATATATTCTCACTACATATGTGAAATTAACTATTTAATTAAATAGTGAATTAAAAATGCGTCGAGAATAACGTTTACTTTTCAGTTTTCGACGGAATCGTACGTTTCGGACGAAATCTTCATTGTCAATGTCAAGTTAACGTCAATGACGTAAAAGGGTTTTTATGAGGCACGTAATTTAAACTAAATGATCAGAAAATTACAACAAAAATATTATTTTTTAGCATTTACTGAATTTGAAGTAGCACGTGGCTTAAAGTAAACTATAAGCATATTTTAAAGTAATAAGATAATTTTATCCCACTACCTAAATTAAAGGGGAACTTTATATTATTTCGAATTAGTCATACCCTCAATTGGTTGTTTTCAATGTCGACATGATAAAAACCTTATATTTTCAGTGATTGTCTGAAAGCGAAGGAGCGATGTTGTTTACGTAAAATAAAAATAGATAACAATTATAAAATATGTTTAGAATAATTTTCAGTAGTTTGTTAATCTCAACAGTGCTATGTGTATACCAAAATAATAGCGGACTGAATAAAAGAAACTTTATTTACGATACGTAAGTATAATTACAAGCTGATTATTTTGTTTACGTTTTGAAATTGCAAAATATGTTGAGTAATATTGTCTAAAAAGAATTTTAAACATGACTTTTATCAATTTAATAGTTGATTAAGTTAAATAGTTGCATAACGACGCACTGTTACATCAACTTCGTCATAATGAAGCTTTTGTATTCTGGGGAATCCCCCTAACGTTTGGTTATCACCATTTGGTTATCTGTTAGTTATTTTCTAGAAAAGTTCAATACCACTATGATAAAACATGTACATACATATTAGAAATTAATATTTATTTATTTTTATCTATGTGAAGGTAGGTTTAAGTCTATCAAAATGCATGTTATATTTTCCTTTGTTCTTCTGTTTATTTATAGTTTTCATAAGTCATAAATCAATGGTAAATATATAATTTTAAGTTTATGTTTTATCTACAATACTTATAATAATTATTTACTATGAATTGTTATATGTGGGTATAATAAAAATTAAAAAAACTATAATTATCTACACCGGGGTCGTAGTTCTATAAAAAAAGTTGTTTTACTGTATCATACATAAAAATTAATAGAAAATAATTGCTTATTCAGTGAAATTAATCACTTTATATACATCCCCAAAGTCTGTTCATACAAAAGTAGTCCATAAAGTTAGTAAATAAGGTCTATAATGGAGTTAGTGGATTGAGGTTACTGGTAACCATCTGGGGATCAATCAGTTAAGTGACAATGGAACTCTTGTTCATGATTAGCATCCACAAAGTAGTTGTTATACAAACCGCTAAACCGGTTTTGTGGGAACAAGTTTAAAACTCAATATCTGTACACTGTTGTGATTATAAATAAATGAATAATGATTTATATTTTATAATAGCTAACCCAGCAGACTTCATGTTACCTCAATGAATATTTTTATCATACTCCAGTAATACATTTTCTTAAACTGTCAAATACCGCAAGGACACCGGTGACCGCAACCTTATTTTTCTTTAATTGTGTCTATAATATCGGGACTCAAAGAGTTAATTCCCAAAAGGCCAGTAACGTACTTGTAACACCTTCTATTTCGGATGTCCATAGGCGGCCCGATTGCTTACCATCAGGTGATCCGTCAGCTCTATTACAGGATTATCCCATAAAAAAAAACTTTCACAAATCATTCAAGACCATAATTTGCTTAGATAAATTGGTGCAGCCGTTCTAGAGTTTAAGCGAGACTAACAAATAGCAATTCATTTATATTATATAGATTATATATTTTATATGTGTACTAGCGACCCGCCCCGGCTTCGCACGGGTGCAATATGTATATACATACAAACCTTCCTTAAGAATCACTCTATCTATTAAAAAAAACCGCATCAAAATCCGTTGCGTAGTTTTAAAGATCTAAGCATACATACGGACATACAGCAAAAGCGACTTTGTTTTATACTATGTATTGATTAGACTAAATCTTACGATTTAGAATGAAATAAAACTAATGTGTTGCTTTTTAAAATTAATAAACGACATTTAATGTTTTATTCTTCCATAAATTCTTCAACGCAAAATTCTTATATTATTGATGTTTGAAAAAAACCAAAGACTATTTGACAATAGTAATCAATTTAAAAATTAAGAACACCTTTTTCTTTACATGTGTATTTAACAATATATTTTGATTACAGATACAAATATGATACGAGAATTGAACTCATCATTAACAATGAAACAGAACAGATTATGGACTTCTACGAGGTTTGTGTTTTTCTATGTTCAAATACATTGTCATTTTTGGTATCTATTTACATATGTAGTAGCCAATGCTAGTCGTCAACAAATAATTATTATATTATGCTAGGAAGTGAATTTAATAAGTTATCTCCTTACCGAATTTCATCCACATCGATGTAGCCGTTCTAGAGTTATAACTAGTGTAACTCACACGACTTTCCTTTATATATATATTTTGTATTCTCAATATTATATCAAACTAGCGGATCCAACAGACGTTGTCCTGCATATCCACTTGAATGTATAAACAAAAATTCATTCAGTTCAGCTGTTTAGGAAAAATAACCTAAGCATCGACTGCAGCGCCATCTGCCGGGCTGATTTGTGAATCTAAACCATTCCCAGATCCCCTTGAACACACACAAAAAATTTCATCAAAATCGGTCCAGTCGTTTGAGAGAAGTTTAGTGACATACACACTCACAGAAGAATTATATATATAAAGATGACAATCTTAAAAAAATGTACTATTTTATTAGTTTATGCTATAAATATTTTAAGTCAATGTCCAAAATCTTATTACATTCAGTCAAAAAAGTATCAGGAATGGATGATTTGTTTATGGTTCCAAATCCAAACTTTTGTTTTTTTTGTAGTTGTTAAATCGGAAATTGAAGTCTTTTAAATTCAAACGGCATATCGGCTGGGATCATCGGGATCCATTAAGGAGGAACAAAGTTCTCCGGGTCAGCTAGTTATTATTATTATTACGCAGTTGTACTGTAGATAGTTCTTTATAACTTCTGCGACCTGTGGTATACGCAGTTGTACTGAAGATTCTTCTCGATAACTCTGCGACCCTGGTATACGCAGTTGTACTGAAGATAGTTCTTGATAACTTCTGCGACCCTGGTATACGCAGTTGTACTGAAGATAGTTCTTGATAACTTCTGCGACCCTGGTATACGCAGTTGTACTGAAGATAGTTCTTGATAACTTCTGCGACCCTGGTATACGCAGTTGTACTGAAGATAGTTCTTGATAACTTCTGCGACCCTGGTATACGCAGTTGTACTGAAGATAGTTCTTGATAACTTCTGCGACCCTGGTATACGCAGTTGTACTGAAGATAGTTCTTGATAACTTCTGCGACCCTGGTATACGCAGTTGTACTGAAGATAGTTCTTGATAACTTCTGCGACCCTGGTATACGCAGTTGTACTGAAGATAGTTCTTGATAACTTCTGCGACCCTGGTATACGCAGTTGTACTGTAGATAGTTTTTTATAACTTCTGGAGCCCGGTATATTATGCAGTTGTACTGCAAAAAGCTCTTTATGACATCTGCGACCCTGGTATACGCAGTTGTACTGAAGATAGTTTTTTATAACTTCTGGGACCCTGGTATATTATGCAGTTGTACTGTAGATAGTTCTTTATAACTTCTGGAGCTCTGGTGTATTATGCAGTTGTACTGCAGAAAGCTCTTTATGACATCTGCGATCCTGGTATACGCAGTTGTACTGTAGAAAGCTCTTTATGACTTCTGCGATCCTAGTATATTATGCAGTTGTACTGTAGATAGTTCTTTATAACTTCTGGAGCTCTGGTGTATTATGCAGTTGTACTGCAGAAAGCTCTTTATGACATCTGCGATCCTGGTATACGCAGTTGTACTGTAGAAAGCTCTTTATGACTTCTGCGATCCTAGTATATTACGCAGTTGTACTGTAGATAGTTCTTTATAACTTCTGGAGCTCTGGTGTATTATGCAGTTGTACTGCAGAAAGCTCTTTATGACATCTGCGATCCTGGTATACGCAGTTGTACTGTAGAAAGCTCTTTATGACTTCTGCGATCCTAGTATATTACGCAGTTGTACTGTAGATAGTTCTTTATAACTTCTGGAGCTCTGGTGTATTATGCAGTTGTACTGCAGAAAGCTCTTTATGACATCTGCGATCCCGGTATACGCAGTTGTACTCAAGATAGTTCTTGATAACTCTGCGACCCTGGTATACCCAGTTGTACTGTAGATAGTTCTTTGTGACTTCTGCGACCCTGGTATACGCAGTTGTACTGAAGATAGTTCTTTATAACTTCTGCGACCCTGGTATACGCAGTTGTACTGTAGATAGTTCTTTGTAACTTCTGCGACCCTGGTATACCCAGTTGTACTGAAGATAGTTCTTTATGACTTCTGCGATCCTGGTATATTATGCAGTTGTGCTGAAGATAGTTCTTTGTAATTTCTGCGACCCTGGTATACGCAGTTGTACTGAAGATAGTTCTTTATGACTTCTGCGATCCTGGTATATGATGCAGTTGTACTGAAGAAAGCTCTTTATGACTTCTGCGATCCTGGTATATGATGCAGTTGTACTGAAGAAAGCTCTTTATGACTTCTGCGATCCTGGTATATTATGCAGTTGTACTGTAGAAAGCTCTTTATAACTTCTTTGACCCTGGTATACCCAGTTATACTGAAGATAGTTCTTTATGACTTCTGCGGGCCTGGTATATTATGCAGTTGTACTGTAGAAAGCTCTTTATGACTTCTGCGGCCCTGGTATATTATTCAGTTGTACTGTAGAAAGCTTTTTATTACTTCTGCGATCCTGTTATATTATGCAGTGCAGGACATGCTAGAACGAGTCAGTTCGGACCTAATATTCATGAAACGCATTGTTACTGGTGACGAGACGTGGGTTTATGAGTTTGGCATGCAAACTAGTCAACAAGCTTCGGAGTGGCGCCTTCCAACTGAACCGAAACCGAGAAAGCTACGCCAAAGTCGATCAAAAGTCAAAGATAAGTCATGTTGACTGTTTTTTTTTGACTATCGCGGTGTTGTGCACTCTGAATTGTTATTGGAAGGTCTAACGGTAAATACAGAATATTATTTGAGCGTTATGCGGCATTTAAGAGAGCAAATTCGACGAAAAAGGCAAGATTTATGGAAAAAAAATTCTTGGATTTTGCACCACGACAGTAAGCCTTCGCACAAAGCTATCATTGTGAACGAGTTTTTGACCAAACACTCAACAAATACCATCCAGCAACCACCATATTCACCAGATATGGCTCCTGCTGACTTTTTTCTTTTTCTTAAACTCAAATTACCACTTCGTGGCACCCGTTTTCAATCGATAGAAGACATAAGGAGAATTCACGGCGAGAACTGAACTCAATTCCGGAAGCAGCGTTTAAAAAATGTTTTGATGAATGGATTATTCGTTGGCGCAAGTGTATCGTTTCTAAAGGAGCATACTTTGAAGGTGATACAATAAATTTGGATGAATAACAGACATTTTGTGTATTATTGATCTTTTCCCGGTACTTTCTTGACAGAATAGTATTATTTTATACTTGATGGGCCGACGTTTAGCCATCTTGCCTGGTAGAAAGCGGTGATCAGAATCAGAATCAGAATCAGAATCAGAATATTTTTATTTGTAAACATAGGTATGTGAGGTGTTACAGGTAGGAAGATTCTCCATGTTTTGCCCAGAGGCGTACAAATATTGCATATAATTAAAATTATTTAACATTGTCATCATTCAAAAATTAATTGACACTTGTAATTGCAAATTAAATTGAAACCGATTAAGTAACATGTCATACAATACTAATGCATAAATAAAATTAGGATCATCAAATAAGTCATAAGTCTTAAGTAATGCCAATATTAACAAGATTAACAAATTGTCTAGAGAGATTAATTTTCGTGTCATATTATTTAGCGTTAAATATAACATTAACAGATATTAATTCGCATATACATATCATCACAAATAAAATAGAATTAATTCAATAAAATGTCAAAAAAAAGTTACATGTCATTTAGGCCAATGTCAAACAAAATTCAAAAAATCAAAACAAATCGCCTATGATCGCGTGATGTGGCCTATCCTTTTTTAGCAATGGCATTTTTTAACTGGTGTCATTTTATATCAGGAGACGGAGTTATGGCACGGCTACCCCACCCGTGTGCATGTGTCGACAAACGAGACGCTCAATGTCGACAATCCTGTCTTTGTGACCGCAACCCAGCAGAAAGGTAAGTCATCATCACTACATAGTATCAAACAAAGTCGCTATCAGCCGTCTGTCTGTCCCTATGTATGCTTAGATCTTTACAACTACACAACGGATTTTGATGCAGTTTATTTCAATAGATAGAGTGATTCTTAAGGAATGTTTATATGTATCATACTTGCAAATTGCACCCGTGCGAAGACGGGGCGGGTCGCTAGTTTAGAATAATAGACACAATGGCCAAATATCATCTATTTATTCATAAACCCATGTATAATTTTACAGTGTAAATCGAAACATTATAACATAACATCACGCTTTTTATACCAGAAAGCGTAGGCAAAGGTGCACATTACGGCACTTTATGCCACTATACAATGTAACACCCACTTTTCACTATTTATGTTATGAGTCCCAAGTAATAGGGGGTGGCCCTATTGCCATATACCACAATTCCAGAGTCCGTGCTACTACTGTGAATTTAAAAAGACCAAGTAATACTTTGCCCGACCCGTCACTTGCGAACACTTGGCCAACGAGGCAGTCTGAGTGAGGTGACCGGAACCCCCATCCTTAATCCTTTAATCTTGCGAATTAACACGGATAGAAAATCCCAACGAACAACTGTTGGGTAGAATGCCTGCCACGAACACCACGCCTGCTCGGAGGATCCTCCTTTTCCGATCTTAGGGAACTCTACTCTCTGTTCCCTATAGTTTGTTAGCCTCCGGACACCAGGGTGCACCGACTGGTTACGTCGCTATGGTGTTCCAGTGTCGCTTACCATCAGGTGATCCGTCTGCTCGTTTGCCTGCTATTCCATAAAAAAAATATGGCCCTAAATCTCCAAATCCTCATGCCCTTAATAAATGCCGGCAACGCACTTGTACCTTCCTAACTCCTCTAGCCTTGTGTCCATGGGCGGCGCCGATTGCCCATCATCAGCTGATCCGTTTGCTCCGTCGCTCTGTTATATTGAGGTGTGAAATCATCAAATGATTCCTTTCCTTGGTGAGGCGAGAGGGAGTGTCAGACTCTTACTGACTGACCAAAGATTCTTCATAATTTTACTTATCTTTTTCATAGGCGTATCATCATGGGAGCTTCCATTACTGGTGCAGACACAGAGTGGAGCGCTGATGTTCTCCAGTATGGCGCGGACACTTTGTCCACATGACGCGGGACCAGGTGAGTCGAGGAGACGGTGGTAGTGTCGGCAATGGCACAATAGGGCTATTGTATTTTGGCTCATCAGAGGGCTTGCTCTTGAATCCAATTCCAATCGATTGACATTGGTATTGCGAAATTCCGTAAAGTTGCAACACTAGCGCCCATTGCATTCGCATTGCGCGGATATTTAATGAACTAAATGGTATACATTTTGGCTTTATATTCCGTACTCTGAATGCTATTTTAACAGCTACGATTGAGGTTGTATAGTGTTGAAATTTAATAATAATGAGATTTTATTGCATTGACTGATTTGAGATTGGTTTTAAGAGTAAGCACCTAGATGGCGCTAGTGTGGTTCTCTTACTTCCTCCAATGGGAAATTAGGTAGTGTTACACCATTGGACGTTCACAACAGCTTAAGTGATTGGACAAAAACTATCTTGGTAACTTCCATCGCCTATTTAGTAATAATTGGGTACTTGTCAACTAGTCAAATTCAATACTTTTTTCGAAATGTCAAACTATGAATTTTGTACGAGATTATTGTATTGTGACGTCATGTTTTTTAGCGTCAAACAGCATACTTATTTATTAAAAATTTGCTGAAAAAATACTAAAATTAAGTTGGTCATAAAATCAATTAATGAATGTGTGATTATTTTTTTATGTTTCATTGTATTGAACAGTCAAAATAATTTATTTTTGATTAAGTCAAGTATCCAGTTGGGTTTGCAGACTATGTAGGACTGTTGACCGTTCTATCGGTTCCGGGAAGGCCGAAGAAGCCCCTTCTTATCAGGCGAAACATAGTACTATTACGTCACCATTTCGTCCTAGTATTCTGTGGGAAGGTGGTAGTTCCCCGGTCAAACAAATTCAAGTTGCGATCTTATAGCACTCGTTAACTCTATGTTGTCATTAGTACCTAACAATTTAAGCAATGTTTATGATCTCATTTTCGTTATTCTTCCACATACACCGTGAATATTATGTTCTTTTCGTCCCACGGCAAAACAATTTGCTATAAGAAATACATTCGATGTATAAAGTAAAAACAAAACAATAACGATGTTCTTTTTTAGTTTCAAAAATATTTCACCGGCTTCAGCGCATGAGATACTAGATGTAAATTAGTAGGCACTACTCGCATCGCACGTGCCACCCGACCAGAAATACTTCGTCGGGAATAACATGGCGGGATGTTTTGATAATGTAGTTACTTATTACTATGAGTTCGTATGCGCTTTCGAAGTTTGCTTTCTGCAATGGTTCATCGGTTATTTTTTGTTTTGAACATTTTATTTCTTTGTAAAACTATTGTATTACCGAGACAGCACCATTTTACTTCGGGACGAAAACGAAATCGGTTTCACGGTGTATGATGAAGCATTCGAGAAGAGAAACAAGCCTCTTCCTTTTATAATAATTTTACTATCGCCCTCTCTTGCTGACAGCGAATGAAAGAGAGAGACATCAATAATATTCGAATGGTTCACCAGTTATATTTTGTTTAAACATTTTTTTTTGCAAACCTATTGTCTTACCGATACCTAACCATTTTACTTTGTCATCTATCTCCATTACATGAACCTGTATATCCCAGATATAAAGTCGGAGAACCGGCCAATGATCCAGATCACGACGTCCAACCCTCGGAACGTGTCCGTTGACATCAAGCTGCGGCGGGTCACTGACTTCTACGTCGATGTCAATAAGGTATCTTATCTCTACTTTTAACTAAAAGTCAATACTTGAATACTGAAAAGTTTATTCTGAACGGATCTTATAAGAACATAGCGTGATGGTCGTCCAACTTCCCACCAGAATCGAACGTTACCACTCTTTACGCGGGAAACTTTACTAATCTGTCATTTTTGACAGATGACATCGTCGACATGACAGCTAGTGCTGTCGACAACTAGTGCCGTTGATTTACTTTATTTTCATCGTCTAACACTACATACATATAATAAAACTGTAGAAGTGTAAATTCTGTACATTGAATACATTAAAAAATAAATAGTAGGGGATGGTACTAGATAGACACCGAAACTGTAATTAAAAATATCCGTGTCTGTCTGTCTGTATGTCCACGCATCACGCAAAAATTAGCGGTCCGATTACGATGAAACTTGGTATGATTATACTTTAATATCCGTTGCACAATTTGCACCTTTGGTCAGCAGTGAGTGTCCATTGCTGATGATGATAGGCCGTTTATCAACAACCTATCATCATTCGATTCTCCACTCAGTATTATTTATTTAACCCCCAGGAGTTATCCCTGAACGCGACCCCGAGTTCCCCGAAGTACTTCTACTTCTCCTTCGACCAGCATCCGTGGAACATCACCGGAGGACCGATGCAGAAGAGCGCCGGCGCAGTGGCACAAAGGTAGGCGAGCAGACGGTTCACCTGATGGTAAGCAATCAGCGTTCATGGACACTCGCAACACTAGAGGCGTTGTAAAAGCGCGATCTTTTAGGGGAATTTTTGGGGATTGAGGAGTCTTTTTGATAAGCCGGTAAACGAGCAGACGGATCACCTGATGATAAGCAATCGGCGTCGCCCATGGACACCTGGAACACCAGAGGTGTTACGCTTGTAAAGACCAACGCACTAGCATTACCTGACTTTTCGGGATTATGAATTTAAGGATTGTTGGGGATTCAGGGATAGATGCAAGTCTGATTGGGCCTCCGGTAACCTCACTCACACACTCGGCCGTGTTAGCACTCCGATGTTAATTATAGTCATTTCGTAGCTTAAAAATAGTTTCGTGGTATCCGCTGAGTGACTGGCAATGATTGGATATGAAATAAGTGGTCAAGCCAGTGCGCTCGTCATGCTTCGGCACTGCTAGGCCTCGACCGGAGTGATACCACCAACGAGCAGAAAACCATAGTGAAAACAAAACAGCGAGCGTTGTGTTTCGACGTGCGAGTGAGGTTACCGGAAGCATAATTACCACAAAAAAAGTGCTGAAGGTCGAATTCATCAAAAGCGGGAGAAAGTCCACTGCTAGACTAAGAGCCTTCTCTACATAAGAAGGTTAATCATAATATCTACTCTTGCCAGATGGGTTGGAGATCTCAGAACAAAAGGTTCAGGTTTATCAGAGTTTTTATCCAAACAGTCAAATATGTAATCCCTTAGTCGGGTATGTAATACCCGTGGGAAGAGTAGCGGTGGTAAAAAATGGAGTCACCACATTTGAACATAAAGACAGTTAAAGAACTAACTAGTCACTAAAACTGTGATCTCTGCCTACCCCCTTATATCAATAGCGTATTGTTCTAGGTTCAACTATACAATACCCAAGAGTGTGATCCTGATCATTGAATCTGATGATGACATCTGTGCCACAGTGTCCATACAGAATAACTCGGTAAGTTATAACTTAATTGTATAAGAATAAGGTATGTTTTGCTATGGTAGTGATTTTGAATGTCTTTGTGTTTGTTACAATGTAAAGTGTAACTTATTGTTTTGTAAATAAAGTTCATTTTCCAATGGTAACGTCTTGCTGACGACTGTCATCTAGGCTGTTAGCAATCTGTCTTTCTTCAATAGATTTCCGACTTTATTACAATACAATAAGGTTGAAAATGTATTAACGAAATTGCACTGGACATTAATTTCAATGGATGGATTATTTGTATGTATGTATGTTCCAGTGCCCAGTGTTCGACAGTGAGAAGGAAGTGCTGTACAAGGGGTACCATCTCACCATGATGAGCAAGGGTGGCATCACACTCACGGTAAGTTACAGTTGAAGGGGGCGGGTCACACTATACAATACCCCATCCTTGTCGTATCTCGTCTTCCATCTCCCGTCCACCTTGACCCGTCCCCCGTCCCCCGCCCCCGTCCCCTGCTCTCCGTCCTCAACTCCATCCCCTATCCCACATCCCTCATCATCCTCATCATTATCCATCCTCCATCTCTTAACAGTATACCCCACTCATCCCCCATCCCCTATCCCCCCTATCTGACATATGTATTCCCTTCATGCTCCGATTGCTTACCATCAGGTAATACGTCTGTTTGTTGGCCGTATGCCATATAAAAAATATAATATACAGACAACATTACGCTTTTTACCGCCGAAGGGGTAGGCAGAGGTGCACATTGCGGCACTTAATGCCACTGTACACTATTAATGTTATGAGTCCCATGTAATAGGGGGTGATCCTATTGCCATATACCGGGCACAGTTCCAGACTCCGTGCTACTACTGAGATTTTTTTAAACCCTGTAATACTTTGCCCTACCCGAACGAACACGCGGCCAACGACGCAGTATAAGTACAGGTGTTTAGTAATTCAATTTGCTGCTAACATTGACAGTTTTTGTACCTTTATCAAAACAAAAAGATAATTTTGCGCAGATGGCGAAACGTTGCAGGACTCACTTCTGATTACAAAACAAAATATTTGATTAGTTACAATCTGAACAGATAAACAAAAATCGAGTGTCTGTTTGTAATATTAAAATAACTGCTTTTTACTACATGTACATAAATATACATATGATACATTTACAAAAGGAGGATCCTCCGACCAGGCGGGGTGATCGTGCCTGGCGAGCTTTCTGCCCAACAGTGGTTCGTTGGGATTTTCTACTCGTGTTAATTCGATTGTAAACTTCGCATGTGCGATGTAGGATTTTATGACGTCATCCGTCGACATGTGACATGTGTCACTTTTTACAATTTATGTCTGTTTGTTTGTACTGGCTAATCTCTGGAATGGATGGAGCTATTTTGACGAGACTTTTATTGGCAGGTAGCTGATGTGCTAGAGTAACATAGGGTACTTTTATTTTGGAAAATTGAAAGGAAAAAACGTTATGTCCTAAAATTCATATTTTACACGGACGACGTCGCGGGCAACAGCTAGTTTGAGATATGTTTAATTAGGCGTAATTCTATATCTGTATTCTATAATTATTTATCAACACTAATTTCTATAAAAATGAAAACAATTACAGGTATTGATTACCGCCTCCAATGTCACGAAATAAAATTCTTATTTTACATAACATCACGCCTTTTATCCCCGAAAGGGTAGGCAGAGGTGCACATTATACCACTGTACAATGTAACACCTACTTTTCACTATTTATGTTATGAGTCCCATGTAGTAGGGGGTGAGCCTATTGCCATATACCGGACCGAATCCCAGACTCCGTGCTGCTACTGGGAAATTGAACTCTGAAACTTCTGAACGGATATAAAAACTAGGCTTACAATAAAATTTTTCAAGGCTAATTAACAACCTAGATATTCAACCTTATCGTATTGTAATAGAGTATCCTTTATTCCAGCAATCAATGTTCCCAGCGGGGTTCTACATAGTGTTCATAGTCCGGGAGAGCGACCAGCAGTGCTCCGGCGCCAGCACTGCGGCCCACAGCCTCGCTGGCGGCAACAGGATGAAGAACTTCAGGTCAGCAACCACATATTCTAAACTACTTACTCCCGCAGCTCCTATTGGTCGCAGCGTGATGTTTTATAGCCTATAGCCTTCCTGGATACATGGACTATCGCACACAAAAAGAATTGGGTAGTTTCCAGGGTACCAAAATTAAAAAATCTAATTAGTCCGTCAGTCAGATAATGAAAAAATATTAGACACTTTTTTTTATTTTCTCGTATTTAGTTGTGTACGCGCCTACTTCAATACGCATAGCAATTCGTCGTTAGATGATTTACGTCTAGTTAAATTATTTTTGTATGACATTTATTTTTACAATCTTCAACAGCGGGTAGATTGTTGCACCAGTTCATTCTACTACCGATTTCGAACAGTCACCATCTCTGCTTTTCTATGTCTCCAAAAATTATTGTAATACACATAATTCTAAAGTTCTTTTGAGTTTCACTAAAGAAATTCCATTCTTGTGCGTAAACAAGAAATTTGGCGACCGTGACAGGACATTTTCTACAAAATTACAAATCGGTGACGAGCAACTCAATACCCGGCTACTGCAGATTTCCAAAGGAAACTAAATTTGAAGGCGATTACCACTCAAGCAACCAGCCTTGACTTCCTGGCTTGCGAACCAGCTAAAGGTAGTACCGGAAAGTCGTCGAGGTGCATCATCATCAATGAGATAAGTGCCATTCCTTTGTTCCAATCTAACCTCATCTTACTACAACCTAGTACCTAATTCCTTTCTAAAATACACTTACTCCACTATTAAGCCTTTATTTGTGCATTTCTTTCTGATTTATACGTCTTTATAGTGCAAATAAGTGTATAAGTAAAATAACTTACATATACCGTCAACTATAATGTCCAAAGATTTTCTTTTCTAAATTCAAGTTCTGATTTGCCACTTAATTGCTATATCATTAATATTAATTTAATATTATTCCTTTGCCATAAACCCTACATCGATTTAATCGATATTTTCAAATTTTTAAGTCGATTTGCCGAAATTTCCAGGCGTTATCCTGAGAACTCAGTTACTCGACCAGGCTGCTGCCAAATACGTCACTGCTCGTTTTGCTGACTAAGGTTTTGCAGCCAGCCGAGACCAGCTTCCCAAGGGACCTCACCGAGAGGAGGAGCGTGAGAATTCATTTTATTTCTTCTACTGTTTAGTCATACATAACCAGTCGATATTTCATTTTGGTGCAGTATAATACTAAAATTGTACAATCAAAATACATTTTTTGTTCAATTACGTAGTAAGCAAATATTTTTACAAATATGCAAGAGGGTAACCAGAAATATCCCGTGCAAGTGTCTCTAAAGGAACTGCTAGCAAAACGTAGTTCAATTAAGGGACAAATAACGAAATTCAAAAATTATTTAGCTAACATTAGTAAATTACCAGAGTTATCAAATATAGAAGTTGCAGAGTTAAATTTAAAATTAAATAAATTGCAAGCATTATCGACAAGGTTTGATGACTTGCAGACAGAGATTGAGGTTTTAAATGCTTCAAATATCTTAATGGAACTCGATGAGCGTGAACGCATTGAACAAGAACTAGTTCAAAATATAGCTATAGCTAAGACGGAATTACAAAAATATAGTAATGACGATGAGTTTCCGCGCCGTCAATCTATTATTGTTAATGCGGACACTAATCATCAAAATGTGGGTTTTAGATTACCAAAAATACAAATTTCGAAGTTCGATGGATCACATTTCCGCTGGCTCGAATTTCGGGACACATACGTTAGCTTAGTTCACAATAATGATCGCATTCAAGACATACATAAATTCCATTACTTAGTTTCTTATTTAGACGGTGACGCGGCACGCATTATAGCAAATCTTGAAGTATCGTCCGCTAATTACAAAGAAGCTTGGAAACAGGTTTGCGAGCGTTATGACAACAAAAGAATTCTTATCAACCATCATCTAGATTCATTAATTAATATTCAAGCAATAACTCGCGAATCAGATAAATCCCTTCGATATTTAGTTGATAATGTAACTAAAAACTTAAGAGCTTTAAACAATCTAGGTTTACCAACTGACCACTGGGACATGTTGCTAATATTTATTTTATCAGTCAAACTAGATAGTCGAACTATATTAAAATGGGAAGAATATCGCAACGCTTTGAGTGATGTGCCAACCTTACAACAATTCAATAAATTTTTAATTGACCGCGCTGATGTATTGGAATCGTTTAGCCATAATAAATGTATAAACAATAATAATAACATTTCCAAATCACCACAAAATTCACGTCTTTCGCAATCTAACACTCAATCTCAATCCTTTAGCAACAAACATTCTTTTAATAAATCACTTCGTTATCAAAAGGGTACTAATGTGTTTACATCCACTTCACAAACTCGAAATAATATTTGTTATCTTTGTGTAGTGTGCAATGGAAATCATAGGATATATGATTGTCCAACCTTTAAATCAAAATCCATTAAGGAGAAAATGTCATGTATAACTCAGTACAAATTGTGTAGTAACTGTTTGCGTCAAGGTCATCCTACGTCAGAGTGCGGCATGGGTTCATGTCGGCATTGCAACCAAAGGCACAACACGCTTCTTCACGATCACAGCTCATTATCTAATTGCAGTACAATAGACATAATCAATAATAATACTAATGAGACCGTAGTGACTTTTTCTCAACACAATAATAAATATGTTCTTTTATCTACAGCGATCATAGAAGTTTACAATCCTTTGAATAACAAATCGGAAAAGGTTCGTGCGCTTTTAGATAGCGGCAGCCAGTCCACTTTTATAACTAAATCTCTGCAACAAAAACTAGATTTAGTGTGTCATCCATTAAACGCATTAAATGTTATCGGAATAGGCAATAATTATTGCGATAAAATATTAGAAAGATGTGATACTTACATAAAATCAATTCATGGAGCTTATCAAGTTCAGTTATCTTGTTATGTTCTCAATCAACTTACCGGAGATATTCCAAAGATTTCCGTCGATACACATAGTCTAAAAATACCAAAAGAAGTTATATTAGCTGATCCTAAATTCTATGAACCTGCTTCCATTGAGATGCTTATTGGAGCAGATATATTTTGGGACCTTCTGATTAGCGGCCAACGCTCTCTAGGCCCAAACAGTCCTAAATTACAAAATTCTAAATTAGGCTGGATTATAGCCGGTCCTATAAAATTCCAAAATTACAAACAAAATATTCAATGCAATCATTCAATTGTTTCAAATAACAATTTGGATAAAATGTTAACCAAATTCTGGGAACTAGAGAATCTACCTGAAAGAAAGATTTTTAGTCCCAACGAAATAGCATGCGAAAATCAATTTCTAAATACCACGACGCGTTTGAGTAACGGCAGGTTCAGAGTAAAATTGCCACTAAAGGACTCACCTGACTGTCTCGGCGATTCCTATAATCAAGCTAAAAAACGTTTGCTAAATCTCGAAAAAAGGTTTAGGAAAAACCCGACACTAAAGTCACAGTACGTAGAATTTATTCGTGAATATTCAAACTTAGGTCATCTGTCAGAATCACCTATTAAAATACCAAATCCTTCATATTTTCTATGTCATCATGCTGTCTTCAAGGAGGACAGCGAGTCTACCAAGATTCGCGTGGTCTTTGACGGCTCAGCTCCCACAACTTCCGGCTATTCCCTAAACGACATCTTATTGGTAGGTCCTAATCTGCAGAATTCTCTATTCTCCATACTAATTAGAGCAAGACAATACAAATACATCTTAACCGGAGACATAACTAAAATGTACAGACAAATAGCTGTGGATCCTGACGATTGCAATCTTCAATTAATACTGTGGAGAGAAGATGAGTCGCAACCTATTCAAACTTTGCAGTTAGGTACTGTTACTTACGGTACTGCAAGTGCCAGTTACCTTAGCACTAAATGTCTGTGGCAGGTAGGGGAGGAGTGTGATGATCAATTAATTAAAACTATAATACAAAATGATTTCTTTGTCGATGACGTCATCACTGGATCAGATAGTGAGAGTCAGCTGATATACATACAAAGGGCACTTTCTACTGCTCTGAATTCAGCTTGTTTTCCTTTGCGAAAATACAAAACTAATTTACCTAAATTATTTCAAAATATAGAAATTAATACTAAAGAGAAACTTACCTTAAGTGAGTCATTCAATACTCTTGGCCTAGGCTGGGATCCACACGAAGACACGTTCCACTTTCCTGTAAAAAATAATTTTAATAATAACAAAATTACAAAAAGATATATAATGTCACAATCACTTCGTATATTTGATCCACTTGGGTTATTAAGTCCTTGCACAATTCAATCGAAAATATTAATTCAAAAATTGTGGATTAAGGGAATTGATTGGGATCAAATTGTACCTTGTGACATACAAGAAAACTGGAATGAAATATCAAAAAACTTACCTTTACTTGCAGATCTTCACATTCCCCGCAGAGTTATTTGTGATTCACCAAAATTCATAGAACTTCACTCATTCAGTGATGCTTCACAGGTAGCCTACGGTGCTTGTATCTACATGAGAAGTCTGGACGAGAACAATAGGATTACAGTAAAGTTACTTTGTTCTAAATCCAAGGTTGCTCCTTTAAGGCCAACCACCATACCTCGCCTCGAACTTTGCGCGGCGTTGTTATCGGCTAAATTGTGTAAATCTGTTACAGAGTCCTTAAGACTAGTACCTACAAGATTCACGCATTGGTGCGATTCCAATATTGTTCTATGCTGGATAAATAATGATCCAGGAAAACTAAAAACTTTTGTTGCTAACCGTACAGCTGAAATTTTAGATCTTACTGACCGTAAGGATTGGCGATACGTTCCCACTGACGCTAATCCGTCTGATTTAATTTCACGAGGTATAAACGCCCGCCATCTACGAGATAATTCTATGTGGTGGCACGGCCCTTCGTACCTGTATGACAACGAATCACAATGGCCTAAAATACATCAAATTCAAAATGTTGATTTACCTGAAATAAAAATTCACTATGTAGAATCACCCGAGTCCACATTCGATTTTAAAATATTTTCTAATTTCACTAAGTTACAAAGAATATTTGCATATGTTTTACGATTTTTGCATAATTCTAAACAAACAAACAGGTGTAATAGTTTATCTGGCATTTTGTCAGTTGAAGAATTACACAATTCTTTTATATTTATTTGTCGCATATCACAGAAACAATCTTTTCCGTTTGAATATAAGAAATTGCAATCCAAATTATCATTGCCGCCTAAATCAAAATTATTAAGTTTATCTCCATTTTTTGACCCCACATCTAACATTATACGGGTTGGAGGGAGATTAGATAACTCTAATTATTCCTTTAATAAGAAACATCCGATACTTTTAGATGCTTCACATTACATAACAAAACTTTATTTCATCAGTGAACATTTACGAAATTTACATGCCGGTCCACAGTTGCTACTAGCAACCATCAGAGAAGTCACTTGGCCTATCAATGGTAGGAAGCTGGCTAGAAGCACAGTAAGAAAATGTGTCACTTGTGTGCGTGTTCGTGGGCAAACCATCTCACCTAAAATGGGTAACTTACCCAAAAATCGTGTCTCCGTTGATTTTCCATTCAAATCCGTTGGAATTGACTATGCCGGTCCTTTTCTAATACTAAATCGCAAGGGTCGCGGCGCTAGACTAATTAAATGCTACTTATGCCTATTTATTTGTTTGCGTTTTAAATGCGTTCATTTAGAACCTGTCAGCGACTTAACAAAGGAAGCTTTCATTATGACATTTCGTCGCTTTGTTGCTCGCCGTGGTAGACCAGCGGAGGTTTGTTCCGACAACGGAAGAAATTTTGTATCTGCCGCAAAGGATATAAGTAATTTTCTAAAACAAAATAACCAATCTCTTTCTCTGTTTGCAGCAGGGGAAGGAATAAAATTTTCATTTATACCTGCTTACAGCCCTCATTTCGGTGGGATTTGGGAGGCTGGAATCAAGTCTGCTAAATATCATGTCAAAAGAGTTATGGGCAACTCTCATCTTACTTTTGAGGAACTTTGTACTTTATTCGCACAAGTAGAGGCAGTTCTAAATAGCCGCCCCTTGTGTCCACTGTCATCATCACCTGATGATTTCCTATCCTTGTCCCCAGGGCACTTTCTTATTGGCAGACCTTTAAATACGCTGCCAACGCCACCTCAAGACGACTGCCAGTCAACCCAACTGCAACGCTATGCCCGCCTTGAACAAATAAGGCAAGATTTTTGGAAACGTTGGCAGAAAGAGTACATTTCTGAACTTCAACTTCGAACAAAGTGGAAGACAAGGACTCAATCTTTAAATATCGGCGATCTTGTTATTATACAAGAGGATAATGTGCCACCACTAAACTGGCGCCTCGGACGTGTTGCCCGGCTTTACCCTGGTTCAGACGGCATTTCTCGAGTCGCAGATATCAACACAGCAAGAGGATGCGTGCGTCGATCGCTGGTTCGCCTGTGTCCCCTACCAAATGAAGATGATATTCAAGGTTGAAGATCATAGACCTTCAACGGGGGGAGTCTATGTACGCGCCTACTTCAATACGCATAGCAATTCGTCGTTAGATGATTTACGTCTAGTTAAATTATTTTTGTATGACATTTATTTTTACAATCTTCAACAGCGGGTAGATTGTTGCACCAGTTCATTCTACTACCGATTTCGAACAGTCACCATCTCTGCTTTTCTATGTCTCCAAAAATTATTGTAATACACATAATTCTAAAGTTCTTTTGAGTTTCACTAAAGAAATTCCATTCTTGTGCGTAAACAAGTTGCAATACTTAGATAAAAGTGCGCTAAGTTTAGGAGTTACGTCATAATGTGCTACAAAATGTGTCACGCTGTGACGTCACACGATATTTTAAATTAATATCTCGTCGAAAGTATTTAATTTTGTGAGAAAAGTTTTAAATTAATGTACCAGACGGACATTAAAATAAAATTTAGGAAACTACCATATTTTTGTAATCGACCCAGTACTTCCGGAGATTATCGCCTACCAACAAACAAGTAAACTCTTCAGCTTTATACAGCGTGTGTCATATATATACAACGTCGGGTTTTTGTTCGACCACAACGCTTGCCCTGTTTCGTCGTGTGTGTGAGGTTACCGGAGGCTCAATCACTCCTCTCCCCAATCTCCTGAATCCCCATTAATCTTCAAATTTATAATATCCTAAAAGGCCAGTAACGCTCTTATTACACTTATGGTATTTCGGGTTTCCATGGGCGGCGCCGATTTTTTATTTTATGGCATAAGCCGGTAAACGAACAGACGGATCACCTGATGGTAAGCGATCGGCGTCGCCCATGGACAGGCGTTACAAGTGCGTTACCGGCTTTATGGAGATTAGGAGGATTTTTGAGGATTCATTACCACCAGATTTCATAAAAAATACGTTCAATATATTTCATATTTATATATATATTTATATGATGTCATATTGAACGTATTTTTATGGAATAAATAAATATTGATGTTAAAAATGTAAAAAAATATTTTTTACGCCTTGAAGCATCTTTAGGTGATGATGATGATGATGATGATGAATACTCCTAGATTCCGCGTGATAGCCACAGTGTCGTACCGGGAGTACGTGGTGGGGGCTCTGGTTACACTGGCGCTGGTCGCCGTGGTGGCGCTCCTCGTGATAGTCGCCGTGCTCGCTTGTACCTGTCGATGTAGTGGTGAGTGCTTTTTGTATTATTTAAATGATAGTTAGACGGTCAGACAGACAGGCAAATGTATAGATGAAACATGATACAAAAAAAAATACGAAAAAAACAACAAGATAGACAATTTCCTACTTTTAAACTATTGGAACATCAATTGGGGCTTTTGCTCACCACCAGATGGCATACATATAGCAAAAGGTTATTCGTCCAACAATCACTGCAGCTGTCACATATTGAACATCCAATGGTGTGTCACACTAACTCATTCCCTATTGGATGAAAAACAAGAGAAGCACACTAGCGTCATCTGCCCCATTTTGACAACTACTGGTGATCATATAAGATGTTAGCCTCCATTTAACTCCATAATAATATGCTTGTCGGTTTATCTTTCTCTCTGTTTCTCTGTTATGTCCAACCATCCGGCTTTTTTAAATAATCTCAGTAGTAGCACGGAGTCTGGAATTGTGCCCGTTATATGGCAATAGGCTCACTCCCTATTACATGGGACTCATAACATAAATAGTGGAAAGTGGGTGTTACATGGTACAGTTGCATTAAGTGCCGTAATGTGCACAACTCTGCCTGCCCTTTCGAGGATAAAAAAGCGTGATGTTGTGTTATAAATATAATTTAATATAATTAAAAATTAATAAAATATTAAACTCTACCTCCAATTAAATAAACATGACATTTTTCTACTCCATAGAAACAGTAGTGATAGTGGAGTCGGAGCCTATAGCGCATGCGTCGACGTCGGGCGAGGCGGGCGGCGCAGGCGCAGCGGCTGATACTGCGCGGGTACTGGATGACAGTGATGATGATGACATCGGAATAGCGGGTAAGTAGCGAACTACGCTTTCATATCATTTAAGTAGCTTTTGCTTGCGTTCAATTCGAAATTACTTTCATTAATATTATAAACAGAGAAGCACAAGATATCTTGTTTTAGCATTATCACTGTGTAGAGGTATATTCTCTGTTGGAGATCCTTTTTAAATAAATAAATGTGAACGTTTCTTCGTTTGGATGTTTGTCGGTCAATCACGCTGAAACTACGGAACGGATTTTGATGAAATTTGGTATACAGGCACAAGCAGGGTATGGGCTGACTTAGTGATAGGATACTTTTTATTAAATGTGCCCATGGGATTTTCTTTTTAAGGGG